CAGGCACATTCCAGTGAGACCTTGTGAAAAGTAGTATTAATGTTCTTTCAGACGTTTTCTTTTCGTCTGACCATGAACATTGCACTTATTCGTTTAACCGATAACGACACAGTGGCTTAGTGGCCACAAATTATCTTAGGCCAGTGTAATAGGTTTTTCTTCTATAATAATAATAATACATGTATAAATTCACAGGAATGAAGGGTTAGGTTTAACTTTATGTGTCTCACATTTTGATTCAAAGCTGCTACAGGCCAAAACGTGAGGAAATTGCACTTTATATTTTGGGTGGCACACAAACGCACACGCCACCGAAAGGAAAATAATGTTATCAGAATTAATTTAGATGCACATTCTTGTATGTGAAAACACACACACACACACTAGAGAATATATAAGCAGGCTCCAGGGACAGACGACTGTTCCCTGAATAAACAACCACACTTTTGTTTGCTGCATCCCACTCGCCCTCATCCCTTTCCACACGGTTGCCAAAAACCCTTCCACCACTGTGCACATGCACACACAGACTAAAAGCCACAGTGGAATATATGAAAACTTAAGTGTCATGCTTCATATCCAGTCATCCTAACAGAGATCCTCATGTGGATTTAAAGGTCACAAGACGCCCCAGATACGAATCGGGCTCCTCCCGTTGCCACACGTTAGCTCACCTGGATTAACATTAGGAAATACACCGGCTGACAGTCACTCCTCTGCTGACAGCATCCCCCAATCCTCGGACTGCGGGCTGTGCCCCGTTCTGCTGAAGTGCTGCACTGAAACTGTGCCAGAGGTTTTGGGCAGCTTGTGGGCGCAGCGGCTGGATATACAGTATGGCTAGGGAAAAGGAGTACAGCAGTACGTACAGAGCTATGGGAACGGGACTTCCTGACAGTTCGTCCTCTCCGTGGCGGCTGTATTAGATTGTAGGGTAGACTCAGCTTCAGGCTGGATTTGTTATAGAGATGTGACTTTGGAGGTGTCAGATGTGGAAGACAGATTCTTGAAGGCGACAAAAGGAAGCAGGTTCTTAGATATAATACAATAAAGAATGTCTCTTATAAACAGGCAGGGTTTTTATTATTATTCCATCCTGGCGGCTGGAGAATCGTTCCCGAAAGAGGAATGAAGTCTGCTGCGTTCATATGAAGATGCAAAGAGAGCCGGAATCTATTGCAGAGATGGAGCGAGGTGGATTTCAGGCACGGGGAGGGTTCCAGGTGGCGTGTCTAGCTCGTCTCATTAGAGAATATTATGTGAGGCGTACCTCGCAGCCACCGCCTATGTCTGCTCACAAAAAGACTGCTATGAGGGACGTTTACCCTGGGAATCAGAGGGGGGGACGCCGGGGAGGGCAGGCGGGGATGACACTGATGGCCGGGAGCTTCAGAAGTGTCAGCGCTTTTTTCTCTGCACCTCCTGGTTGATGGGCAGCTCTAAATGTAATTACTTCGAACAGACCTTCAGGAACATCAGGGAGAGCGTTTGTACAATGTTCTTATAGGGGCTGACTTTGTTTGTGTTTATGTTAAAATGGCATCAGATAGATGTGCGAGGGGGGGAAGGGGACCCCGCCTCAGGTGTCTTTTGCTGTCCCTCTTCAAGGGGACAGTTTTTCTCGCTAGGTCTCTTTTTCTTTGCTTTTTCACCGCTGTGAAGAACGTCGGCTTTTAGCACCGTATTCAATTCATTCGTTCCCATTCATTGCCAGGGAAAAATGTTCCTTTCAAAAAGATTAGTTTGACATTTACATGTAAATTCATAATTTTTATTGCCAGGTGTTGAAGTTTCGGGGTTACGACTAATCTTTTTTTTTTATTTTCATTTCACTGATCAGTTTTCCAGAACCCAAAGTGACTGGTTTTGTGCGACCCAACATTCCAAAAAAAGACTCACTGCAGTTTACACTTTATTTTCATTAAATTCTGATCAAATTAATGACAATAACTGTTGCTGATTGACGCAATTTCTGCAAAATGACGAATCAAATAATCCACTAATCATTTCAACTATTCTCTCAATCACTTAACAGCTAGATTCCTCCGTGCTCATTTGCAATTGTCGAGGCTCCCCTTCGTGACCCAGCGCTCGTTGTCTAAAGCTTCTCGGGCTCCGCTCTCGTTTTCCATTCATCCAGGCTGCTGCTTGAATAAATGAAACAGAAGTAATCACAGTTTGAATTCTGTGTCCAATCCTGTAGGGTCAGTTCATTCTCAGTAGATTATACCGACACCCACAGGGCTGTTGCTTCATGCGGGATGTATGAGGTATTAACCTCATTCACACCCACCTGCACTTGATTGGCTGTGAATGTAATTCAGGATTAATTTCAGATTGTTATTGATCTCTTTATAAACGCTACTTTTGGACCAGGGCCTGTCCTTTTCTTTTTTCCCCCTCAGGTTTTTATCCGCAGCCTATCACTGTGATAGTTTAGGCAACCGAGGACAGCTGATCTCTGGTGACCGCCAATGAATGACCAAGGTTTTACATTGACTGAGCCTCCTGTAGGTTTAACCATTGTCTCTCGGGTGTGCTCCCTGCAGAAGCTTAAAGAAAATGGAATACCGCTAATGCTGGCCAAGTCTTCTGCCTGTGTGAAACTTTAAACTGTGACGATGGCTTTTGGGGAAATCCTCTCTAAATCTGTAGTTTTTGGCGTACCGGTTGTCTCTGACCAGTTGACTTTTTCTACAGACAATTCAAATTGGTCCCTCTCTTTGTTGCGCCTTAAAGACCTCACTTTTGTTGAAAATCCATCCTCTGCACCTTCAGGCGGCACAATTGTTAAACTTGCTTTAGTTGTTGCATCCTCTGGCTGTAGGTGGTCACATCAGCATGCCTACATACATCTGCAGGTCTAAAGTCATTACTTTACATTCCTGTGGCGCTGGCTGGCGTTCGGTCGCTCTTGTGGAGATTCAGTGTTATCCAAATGAATAGTTCCATCTCAAATGTAGACAGTGCTCTAATTTACCACAAACAGAATAATACAAATGTGTATTTGTGTCTGGGACACGACAACCAATCCATTAGAAAACTGTATAAATCCATACATTGGAAGAAGTGCCGCAGTGTGCATGTTCATCTGTGTCCACTTGCGGCATACATTGTTATGATTATGCTTCTCATTAGAATTTAGGAGGGAGGAAATGAGGGTATGTCAGTGATGAAAGGCGTCCTCCAGCTACTTTGTTCAAAGTGGATATGAAAGAGCTCTGCTCTAGCTGGAAATCCTTTAGAAGAAATGGATAATCTCCTTTATTACGGGCAGCTCTGCTACATGCTCGCTGCAGGTCCTAATGGACGAGGATAAATACGTAGACGCTCCCACCAACACACACTCCAGAGGGAACATGAGCAGCACTGCAGTCAAATTGCACCAGCCGAGCCCTGATGTAACCGGATCGCTTCCTCTGCGTGAGCCCAGATGTAGTTTGCCTTGCGTTAATACACGACATATGAACTCATAAGCACGTTTTCTAATTTAGCCTCACGTACAGGGGAGCGTTGGCTCTGTGGAAAATGAGGTATTGTCCCCCCGAAGAATCCTTTCAGAGATGGTTTTACAATGTTTTCTCCTTCAATTCAGTCTCGGTTGGTTTGTTTCCTCTGCCTCTTTCTTCGTAACGTGTTTGGCATTCAGCTTGGTCATTGCTCCGGCCTCCCATCATCCATCCCTCCCCCCCTCTTTGTTATCATCCACCCTGTTATCCGTCTTACTTTCCTCCTCCTCAACGGTCCGTCAATCGCCTGGCAACTACGGTCCTTCTCACCACCCGTTTCCTCTCAGTCAGATACCTGGTTAGGGCCCGATTGCGAGGTCATCAACAGACACAAAGTTTCCATTACATGTTCCTTTTTAATGTGTTCGGCAGGCGTGTTCGATTTGTGTTTTCGCTTGCTTAATCTGGCCTCTTTTCCTCAGTTTATCAGCCCAGCGTTCACACCCTTCCCGGCTTCTTTTTCTGGGTGTTTTTTATAATGTGCATATTTCATAACTGTCCTTCACTGGGTGTGATCTAATTCATCCCTTTTTTCTCTTGCAGTAGATTCAGGAAACTCTGTTCCGAGGAAATTCATTAAGGTTCATTACGTTATTCCATCATTGGATTTATTGCAAACACTAGTGGACACCACGTAATGTTTGTTGGTGTTGATTTCTGTGCAAATCAGTACACTATAATATTCCGTTCTGTCTAAAACCTTCTGAGAGGTGTTAATTCAACTGGATGTTTGGTATTAGGTCAAAGTTGGCAGTGAGATGCACTGGCCTGCATTTTATTGAGAGCCATTTCCAGACCTTTTGCCATTATGAGGGGATAGAATATTAAGAGACACACGTGTTTATTTAAACAAGGCATTACCCTGATTTCATCTCTCGCAGACATCAACTTCTGGTCCCCGTTAATTCCCCAACATGCCTGCTGTATTCCAGTGTGCACATATCATTTCTAGTGAAGGATTTGTTCTGCAGAGCAGTGCTCCTGCGTAAACATTTACACACCCCGCGGCGTAATTGTCAACTACAAATCCTCTGCAGGTGATGCTGGGGCACATACTGGAGGGCAGCTTCATTTCCATTTCAAAAAGCTCCCCACTGGGAAGCGTGTGAACATAAAAGCACACGTGGTGGCTACGGATGCCCGTTTTTGTGTGTGGCTTTTTCCCGGGTGTCTGTGTATAACAATCCGGCGAATAAAGCCTCTCTGTTCCGTAGTTTTTCAGGGATCCAACTTGTCTATACGGTCAATATTCAAGCAGCAGGAAGTGACTAAGTGAAAAGTTCTTCAAGTACGATGATTTATTCATGAATGGCTGTGTGTTCTATTATGAGGAGGCTGCTCGTGTGTCACTGGTGTTTACAGAAGAATCCCTCCTCGGATTAAGTACACAACTTAATAGACTTAGCACGCAGACCGAGGGTTTTCTATCTCCGTTTGAATCTTACTGTGTTGGTGTTGTCTTCTCTCCAAATGTCCCTTCTGCTTACACAGAGTTTGATCCCAGCCTCGGCATGATGGCTGGAATTAACCCCCTGAATCCCATGATGCCCGGCCTCGGTATGGGGCCCCCGCCGCTCTCCCAGGACGTGCCCGTTATCAAGGAGATCATCCACTGCAAGAGCTGCACCCTGTTCCCCCCCAACCCAAGTAAGTCCTAATATTATGCCCATCACGCACCTTCTGCACCCAACGATACTCTTCGCCCCCTGAAAGAATCCCACCACAATAAAAAGTCTTATTAAAATAAACGCAAAAATATACGCTGTGCTTTAGTAGAATACTCCCAAAACCAACACTAACCAGAAAGAAATATTGTCAAAAAATGTACAGATCTTCTTCTAAAAAAAAAATTAAAAAAAACTAAGCTCAAGTGAAAAGATGAGTGAAGTTATGGCAGATGTCAGCATGCAATATCTGTGAAGACATGATAATATGCTTTTTGTTTTATATGTCATTAGTATATTAAAATGTTATTGTTTTGTTGTTCATCTGCGTTGTTGCTCTATATATTTCTTCCCCCCTCCTCCTGCCAAGCAATTAACCTCTTCATCATGAAGTGTCTTGTACATCCACACAACAAACGTTCAGGGCAAGTCACTTTGTGTAACCCGTCTCCATGTGTGCTGCACAAGCTGTTGTTTGTATTAATCTCCTCTCCACGTTCCAATTATACAGAGTTAGAAAACAAATAGTGGGGGGTGCTTTTGATTGATCCCACCTTTTGCTTTTTCAGATTTCCTGCTAGAAAAGTTTCTGCCTGGGGACTTTATTCAAACAAGTCTTACAAGTCATCTTCAAGGTGAACTAAAAAAAAAAAAAAAAAAAAGCTCCCAGACGCAGTCGCATTTGGGAGTTTACCATCTTTTCACTAAACAAAACACGCATTGCATTCTTCTTTTTGTTTTGTTTATCACATACATAAACCACTTTTTCAGATGTGCTTGCATGTATGTGGTGTGCGCTACGGCTCATTATAAATTATCCCAGTTCAGAGGGATCAGCTAAAGTTTAACTTCACCTGGGAACATATTTCTAAATATACAGGGTGAAAAATCATGCAGGCGGTTCCTTGGCCACTGCGAGCTGCTTTCGGCGCCTTGAACCGATATCCCAGGCAAGGCGCCGGTATCCAGGTAACAGGGTTTTGCATATGGTGTCCATCACGACTAGTCATTACCCTCCAGCTGGACACGCTTGACCTGACGCCACGTACGGCGTCGCCCCTCGCTGACCTGTCGCTGAGACGCTACGCCCCCCAAGTGCGCATCCTCATCAAGCTTCTCTTCTGCATCCTCCGCCCTTTAGAGCCCTTTCCGTTGCATCTTAACCCGTCTTTCACCATCTCCGTCGACGCCGCATGGCTCTCCTCCAATCTAGTGCTAAAGGTGGTACTCTGGCTTTTTATCTACGTGGTTTGAAGGCTTGTCTCAACACTTGAGTCTAATTGGGCGTCAAACTCGCATCGTCTGTCTCTTACGCTTTCCAACTCCTCAATGCCGTCTGATGAGTAATAATTATCTTTAAGGAAGGATGAAAAATAATCTTTTGAGCTTTGATGATAGTGGCAGTGTGTCCCCTGTGTTGTTTATGCACACAAACACAACAGTACAACAGTAGTTGCCACTGGAAAAAGAAAGAATGACATTAATAATAAGAAACTTAAACACTTAATGGAAAGCTGACCCTCTAAAATAGATGGGGCAGTGACAGTTGGTTGCTATTTGTCATTTTTGCACAATATGCCGTCGATGATGTTGGTTCCTCTGTGTGATAAATCTTCTCTTTGTTCACGTGTGCCGTGAATGGACTAAACATGTTTAGTCAAGGGTTTGTAAATGTGGTTCATCGTCTGAATAACAGCCCTTGGAGGGTTGGAGCCTCCTCCCCGTGGCAGCCCCTCGGACTATAAAAGGCTGTTTAGCCGGTCTGGCTGATGGATGGTGATGACCCGTGTCGGTGAAGCACAGCAGTGGGTGGCCGGCTTGAGGGACGGGGCTGGACGGAGAGTCCCTCCTTGTGTTTGCATTAGAGCAGCCCTCCTGTTTATAGAAAGCAACGTAGCTGAATAAAAGCACATCAACCAGCTTATTAGTAAGCCCGGGATTCGTAATGGCCCACAATGCAGTCCGGTAGAAAAGTCTTTGTCTATTATATATATATATATTAATTATTTAAGTTAAATAAGTTAAACAAAATACTCATATTTGTAATATGATATAAGTTTTGAAACTTTCCCCTCTGGGTTCTTATCTTATTGGTAATTGTCGACCTCGAAGGATCTCAAAATTACGCAAAAGGGACACACGTATTGAGTTAGAATTTGGACCAAACAAATACTTTTTTAACTATTAGGCAGTAGCTCCCTTGTGTTAAGGTTTCCACATTGGATCCTGCTAAAGCTGCTCCCTCCGTCCTCTCCGTGTCTTTCTCTGCATTTTGAAACAGGTGAACCTGATGCACTCGGTTCACAGATGTTCTCAATATATTGTGTGATAATACATATTCATTGCAATTCAACCAGGAGATGATGAATAGTTCATATGAATCTTAATATAATATATATATATATATATATATATATATATATATATATATATATATAATTATATAAAAAATATATATTTCTGCCCCGCTTATTATCTCAATGTTTTGCATTCCTAGTCACATTAAAAAGAGAGGCAGAGGGAGGTCTATGCAGCTTTGTGTGCGTGTGTGTGTGTGTGTGTGTGTGTGTGTGTGTGTGTGTGTGTGTGTGTGTGTGTGTGTGTGTGTGTGTGGCAGAGGCGGGGAATGTTAAAAGAAAAGGACAGTGCTGGCTTGGGCTCAGTTGCAGCTCTTCAGAGGACTGCATGTGAGTACAAGGAGCTCTGGCAGCAGGGGGATTGGGAGCAGATAAATATTTGTAACCAGGAAAGATTTCAGTTTTCACTGCGCGGCGGGCCGTAAATATCATCCTTCTTTGTAAAATATGGATTCTTGACTGGTTGGATGATTAATTGTCGTAGTATTACGATGCTTCATAAAAGCGTGGCTCAATGCAGTTGTCCTCTCAGATGGCTGAGCCCTTGACTCCGTCATGTGGAACGAGACGAGCCGCCCTGCCAAGAAAACCTTCTTTCAGCTCGCATTATGATCTTGTTGTTTCTTTCAAGTTTAGGGTCCAGTCTTCATGAATTTGAATCCCGAATATGTAGTGTATGCTTTTCCTCACATCTGAGTTAGAAGGCCAGATGTGAACGTGCCGAGGGCCGTAAGGGGTTTCCGAACGTATAAACTGCTCCACTTGGATTGTGTTACTAACTGACAGCGAGAGGGATGAAACGCCTGTATTGCCGCACCACAACGACGCTCAGTCTCAAAATCCTTTTGATCGCGCCTATAAGAGAGCGCGAAATATCCGGATGAATCCACATGCTGCTTATCAGCGAGGCCCTCGTGAAACACCTCTGGTATCCAACCCAGTTCTTGCCGGGGTATCGATTTCTACAAAGGGTGGGAGCGTTGGTAACGCTGATTGCGAGGCCTTTATAGCAGACCTTGAGAGATCCAGCATCCTCAGCGTTCCCCTGATTAGCTTGTTCCCTCCTCCGTGGACCCCGCTAATCACATTCATCATGGATGAGAAAGCTGATCTATTGGCGATTAAATCAGTCGACACTCATCTGTGTTGAATAAGTGATTTGTGCAATGCAGGGGACCTTTCACATGAGAGGATTTGCAATCACTTTATGACCAAAAGGATTTCATTTTCATGCATGGAATGGTTTTGATATTAACATTTATCTAACAAAAAACGGTCCCAGCATGTTGCTCAAAGTTATCATTATTCACGCATTAGGCGCTATCATTTTTTAGGTCATAAGTGCTAAGTTTAAAATATGATTTAATTGAATTTTGAAGCGCCAGGCTCCAAAATGTTGCATGTTTTTCAAGGACTTTAATTGTATTATAGTTGGATTGCTTTCGTCTTTTCTATATTGTTGTGTGGCTCTTTTCTTCTCTGCAATAATACGGAGTTAGACCCCAAAGACCCATCTGGGATTCATTTTGTTTTTTTAAGCCCTATTATTGAAATGCCACTTTCCCCTCTTCAGAATCTCTCCTTAAATATGTTGATTGATCTTTGAGGGTTTTTTTGAGAAGTTTTATGCATGTTTAATTTATGTATGCACCTGGTGGGCGGTCTGTGCGATATAAACACCCAGGTTTTTGTTATGTATTGGAGTCGCTGCTATTCAAATGTTGGCATTAAAAGTAAGAATATATTTCAAGAAAGCATCTGGTGCTTGTTTTGACGTTTCTCTGTTCAGAGAGCATAATGTTGTTTAGATTTTCTTTAGAATGCACATACGAGCGCACCCATTTATTTTTTGATTTAAAAACAGAAGAGAAAATAATACATCTTCGTGTCTCCCAAAAATGATTTCCAGCAGCGATCAGTTATGTTCTCGCCATTGGACATTTCGCCTCAATATTCTCAATAAGCATAATTCCAACGAAAAATCAAGCGTCTTGCGACGGCTGAATTATTCCTCAAGTTGTTTGTATTACAGCTGTATCATCTCCACATAAATGCAAGTGCACACACTTCCATCATTCAAATTATTGTTTTTCAGCCATGTCTTAATATTTAACCCGACGGACGAATCCCTGTTTTTAATCTCCTCTGCTCCGCCACTTTTGAACAGACCTTCCACCTCCTGCCACAAGGGACCGCCCCCCAGGATGTAAGACTGTGTTTGTCGGCGGTCTGCCCGAGAACGCCACAGAGCAGCTCATCATGGAGGTCTTCGGGCAGTGTGGCGATATCACCGCCATACGCAAAAGCAAGAAAAACTTCTGCCATATCAGATTTGCCGAAGAGTTCACCGTGGACAAGGCTCTCTTTCTGTCGGGTAAGCCGCCGCGCGTCTGAAGCCTCGTTCCGTAAATGCTTATTGTCGTGATGCTTTATTGTGTTTGTGTCAGTAGGTCCGTGGAAGGAAAACTCGCACAGACACATTTTACTTGTCAAAAGAAAAATTGCTTCACGAAAAAGTGAGAGCTCCCAAGGTGCAGGAATGACACGGCTCTCAATGCTGAGACAAGTTATTATCTGCACCCTTAATTCACATTGACGTTCTGAGTACATCTGGGATGAATTGAAACATCTGTATTATTTACAACTGTCGGCCATCCCAAACAAACACACAAAACTTATTTTGGGGTAACATAATTACAGCTAGTAGCCAGGATCATTAAATTATTCAAGATAATCTGGAATGAGAAACACGCATAGCCAGTAGATTCATCCTCTTCGTCTTTGAAACTGTATTGGGGTTCCTACGGGAAAGGACAGCTGGGAGACAGAGGTTGGGATTAATAATGGTCGACCACTAGAAACCCAAACGACAGGAGATAAAAGTGAGCGTTAACTCCAAAAAAGAATAGCACTCTAATAACCATGTGACACCAGCTTATGGTTTCTTATCTTATCTTCATTTTCACAGCTGCTTCTACGGCCCAGACGTCTTAAATCTCTCTGTGCCGCGGCCGTATATTCTTGCTTTGAAAAACCCATTTAACCTGGAAGCCAGTTCAGTAGTATTCCAGCGTTATTAAGCCGCGGCGTCTGTGTGTGTTTGTGTGGGAACTAGTTTGAATGAGGGGTCCTGTGATTTAGCCTTGTTCTTTTTCCCACAGTGAGACGAGGTAGCAGAGTTCCATATATCAGCCAGATGACAGAGCTGTGTAGTATTCCCATAAATAATACCCCCCCCACAACACACAACACATTCACTGTGCTAACACAATACCCAGCAATGACACAAACTCCGGGGGCTGTGAGCGCACAGAGATCTCCTCCATATGAAATATTGAAGTAGTGGTATATTGGGAGCCAGAAGCAGGGAGAGCGGCCTGAAGTAGAAACCCCCAAACTCCCACTTATTTATTTTCCTGTTTGCAATGGCATCTATCAAGCCCCCCACCCTCCTGCCCCACCCCCACATAAGTGCGCTGTGCCTCACAGTGAATCACACTGGGCATCATTACCCTGTCCTGCAAACACACACACACACACAGGCACATAGGTACCAAAACACTCAAACTCGACACGCCCTCTGATCATTTTAACCAATTAAATCACTAAATGGCCATGATTTCCCTTCTGATCCGCAACCAGCCATTAGTGAGGACTCAGTTTGAGAATACAGGGGGAAATGGTGGGGGGGTTATGAAGGGATATTGTGGTCTCCTAAGTGAGGTAATTGGCCTCTCTTGTGTATTGACCAAAAGGATGCAGTCCCATCTGGTCAAAGGAAGGGTTTCAACTAGCAAAGTAGATATGACAAGGGTATAAAAGGGAAATAAGAAACCAGGGAGACCCAGATAGAGAGCTTGCTCAGGGGTTTCTCTGTTAAATGTTGAGTAGTCTAATTACGTTTTGTGGACGGGGATGCAAAGGGACTCTCAACTGGACCAGAAAGAAAACCTTCAGCATAAAGACTAAAGCTCATCTCTGTAAATTCTGCTCTTCTGTTGCTATTCAGTTAACTCAAAATCCGCGCCTCAGGGCTTTTTTTTCTGTGTCCTTTGCATAAAACATATTTTTAGTACTCATATTTTAACGCTACTCTTGTTTTGTTTTTTATTCTTAAGCAGTCGAGAGATCTAAGACTTACAGATTACCATATAGAATATTTTAAAAAGTGACCGCCAGGTGCAAATGGGAAGTGTGACGTTGACAGCTGTCTAAAGTTGGAGGCACTGGGGCGTTGCGTTGGTCTTAAGGTGAAATTCACGTAAGCGTGACTGCCTCAGTCTGAGTGTGACGAGGGGTCTTTATCACTCGTCACCCTTCTTTCTTTCTTTCTTTATTGTTTCCCTCCACATGTTCACAATGACAATGCCAACATGTGACTGCTAAGCGGCGATCATGGTTGCCCTTTTCACCTTTTGAGTTTCGGGTGTTCATATGCTAGAAATCCATCAAGTCAGTGGCTCACCAAAGTCATTAGGACACATCCTCTAGGGACCTTGACTGTTTACACAAAATGTCCAGAAAAGAACGAGGACAAATTATGCACTTGCAAAACGCTCAGCACAGTGAATAAATGACATCAATCTGCCTCGGCAAACAGATGACTTTATTTTAATTGGTGAGTTCCCCGCTGTCCCATCTGCTTCTCCCATATCTCGCCTCTCATAGGTTACCGTATACGCCTGGGCTCCAGCACAGACAAAAAGGACACGGGCCGCCTCCACGTGGACTTCGCCCAGGCCAGAGACGACCTCTACGAGTGGGAGTGTCGCCAGCGAATGTTTGCCAGGGAGGAGCGGCACCGGCGCAAGATAGAGGAGGATCTTCTCCGGCCGCCCTCCCCTCCTCCCATCGTCCACTACTCGGAGCACGAGTGCAGCCAGCTGGGAGACAAGATCAAAGGTTGGCAAAAAATATAAAGCACATACGGTGAAATATGCATGTTGTCTGATGGCACAAACACAACAAACACTGCTCCGTACTGAAGCAAAACCCTCGGCGCGCAGAATTTTCTTTAATCAACTGAACCGCATTTACATACACAGGCCTCATTTTCACATCTTTAATGAGCAATCCAAACTAAATGAGGCTCCACTCACGACACCATCATTATGCCACAAAACACCAACCGACAGGGGACGGAGTGAGGTAAAAGAGCAGTCCTGTGCTCGTCCACTTGTGCACTTGAGAGCAACGGTATTACAGGAAGGGTCCGAAACTGCAGCTAGTTACGCAGGACCTCTCTCATGTTCTAACGAACTCAGGGAGTTTGTTTTCAGACGATGCTTCTCCGAGGCTGTTTAACACGGTGTATCGGTTTACTGTTCCCTCGGCACATGCTCCTCTCTCTCCTCTCTGTTCTCTGCCAGTCCTCTCCACTTTCTCGTATCGGCTCTTGTTTCCCCGCTCTACTCAGCTTTCCCTCCAGTTCCACTAACAAGCGACGGCTCTTCCAGGTCTCAGACACAGTTGCCCGATAGCAGAGCGTCAGTGACTGTGCCTCTCTATCATCTGCCTGTGTCGCTTTCAGCTCTACTTTCCCCGGCTCCGATGCAAAGAATGGCTGTGTTGTTTTAGCCAAGGGTTTGTTTCTGAAGTCTCGGCCACTGCTGTTAAAGCACACGTCCCCACTATTTACAGATTTCGATTGACTTTCTCCTGAGTTGTCCACCCAGTAGGAGTAGATGGTTTAGCCCCTTTTCGGTGACATCAAACTCACAGCAGCACTTTCTTTGACGAGGACCACCTCTTTTTGCTCCCCTCGGGGATCATTGGGTGCTGTGAAGCTCCTTGTTACCGAACATATGCCAGTCTACACAGTGCACACTTCTCTTTTTTCCTTTTATCCAACACCACAGATATTTTTCTGTTCTCCTGGCCTTGTTTGCCGCGGGGGGGTGGGTTCTAAATAAAAAGTGCTGGCTACTTTCTCCTAATTTAAATAGTCTTAAATTAACAGCCATATCTCACATGGAATGTATGTGTATACTGAGACCATGTTTCCCTTCTTTGACCTCACCACCCGTTTATTTTTTCCCCGTATTCTGCGTGCTAAGACTGGATATTACTTCATGATTTTTGCTCCCCTGCATCGTCTGACTCTTCCTTTCTCTGTGTCCTCGCCTCCCGGCAAGACGACGGGAAGTTTCCTGAGGCGGTGCGCGTCCTCCTGACCTGGCTGGAACGAGGTGAAGTCAACCGTAGGAACGCCAACAACTTCTACTCCATGATCCAGTCCTCCAACGGCCACATCCGCAGGCTGACGGGCGAGAAGAGTCAGCACGAGAAGGAGGTGGAGGAGGCCAAAGAGAAGTTCAAGACCGCTCTGGCCGGCATAGTTGGCCAATGTGAGTCTTCTGTTCTCAATCACACACACACGTATAATACATTGTAAAGTGTACAACAGTGGTTTTGTACAATGACCAAAGCAAGGGAGTACTACTAAGTCCTTATGGTACCACCTACTGTGCAGTATAGAAGTACAAGAAGTGGATAACAATGAGTCCATTCCATGCTTAACCCAGTTTCTGGCTCAGTGTAGGTTTTCCTATCATAGGAACACATACGATGAACATATTGTATGTAAGACATTTTGTGCCAGAAGGTCCGAAGGCAGCAAATAAGTAAGTATAATATTACTATGCACACTGGATATGAAGGTTATTGAGTTTTAAAGGTAAGTTGTGTTACTTTCCTACAAGTGCTGTTCTGTCACTCTAAATTCATTCAGCGAGATCCAAATAGTTTTACTAAATTCACACTTGTGACTGTAAAGGAATATTGTTCATGTTTCCTTCAGATGAAAGTAGTAAGTGGTCCATCACATCGCTCGTTTCCATTGATGAAGCATATGAAAGCACACTGCTCCCACACACAGTAGTGTCAGGCTGCTAGGTTACACCACCGCCTGGGGCATTTCGTCTCTGCGCGTTCAACCGCATGCATCTTAAATAGAATGTAAACAACCGTCGACACAAAGAGTTCTCAGGTTTTGTTCACTAGGGAAATAAGATGGGTAGAAGACATGTCATGGGGAGTTAGGGTTAGGGTTTGTTTTGTCTTAACCCCCTCTGTCATTTCTGTTTATGCAAACTCTTAATTCATTACCTTCCTCTTGGGGCGTTGCTGGTCATTTTAACCAGATGACATCGGCCTTCTGAGTTTTACTTGGGAACAACTCTGTATCCATACAAAACATATTCTGTCTGCTACTCTTTCAATTGACATCCACATTTAGTCTGTCTCAGATGGAGTTTATAATCCTTAAAGGTCGATTCAACCAACTCGCACAATAGACACATAGTCATTTAAGCCTTGTGGTGTCTCGGCATTCAGATAGTTTTCTTTTTATGTGCCCCAGTTTAGAGATATTGGCTTCTCAATCTTCTGCTGCTTCACAAATACAATGGAGCGGTCCAAAGAATTTCATTTGCGGCGCTCAAAGCATTGAGGAAAAATACCCGTGACTCTAAAGTATCTTTCCCTTCCGGAAACAAAGTCCCCTTTTCTAAAGGTAATCCTTCGGACTCTACTCTAAGGAGTTGCTATTCGAGCTGCTGTGTTGCATATATGGTTTGTCTGTCCGCACCCTTTCCTCTCTTCTCTGCCTTCACCATCGATCTTGCTCCATCAAATTACAGAGTACAGGGAAGATGCTATTGATCCCTCCACTGTTCTCAGTCTCTCTCTCGCTGTCGCTCTGTCCCGTCCCGCCCCCCCCCCCCGCAATCACACACACACACGCTGCCAGTCGTATTGACAGACCGCACCCCAACACCCCCGTGTACGGTAGGAGCTTTGGGATACACAGACCACCCATATGACAAAGGATGACCATGGCTGTATCAATACATTGCTGCAAAGATCCAATCAGACACAGACTCTGCAGATCCAGAGCAGCTGTCATCGTACAAATCACACGTAGCAATAATGGAAACCTCCGACTTAAAGGAGTGGTTGTAATGAGAATCTCCGACCCAAAGGAGCTCGCTCTGCTCGACCTTCCTGCGGTCACGTCTTCACTGAAGGATTAACTGGCCCCGCTTGAAGCTAACAGAAATCTGCTTGGGGAAAGCCATTGAGGAACACTAGGCTCCTGTAATACGTTTGGAAGTGTCCTCGGGTAAGATTCTTAACAGCCCTCTTCTGTAGTGGAGCTGCACCGTGGTCAACAGAGGCACGCGTGTAGTAGGTTATTTTTGTCATCTGCCAGTTGCTTAGCGAAAAGTCCCCCGTTGATCAAGTGTTTAACGAGACACTCTGTGTGCAGCCATGCTAACCGTCCTGTGAGCCTGTAATAATAACAGCAAGTCTTTGTCAACATGCTGCTGTTTAGCAAGTTTGACTCTCAGCTTTGCAACACAAAGTACAACCGAGGCTTGTAGGAATGTCATTGGTTTTGCAGATATTTGGTGATGCAACAAAGTATTTGATGAACGTCATGGTGGTTTTAAAAGAGAAATCCAGAGATTATAATGATTCGGGTCACGAATACTCGTTCTAAGGACATGAATAGCTCCAGGGAATTTTCAATCAACCCTCTCCTTAGTCACCAAGACATTTTGATGACCACAATTGTTAACTTGTTTGCAAAAAGTCAGTGTAGAGCAACGCCACAGCCCAATAAATATAAAGTGAGTATTAGGCACAGCTGCAGTGTCACTGCACTTTAAATACTTGAACATTTTAAATATGTTTGCAAAATGTACGGTTCACTGAAGTTGTTTAAGTTTCTCGTGTGGGAAATATCAGACCGGGCTTCAATGAGATGATGCACTTGCATCAGCTGGTAAGTGGATCACACGCTTGCACACACACATAACACACACACACACACACACACACAGTGCTTGACGTCCCTAGTTGACCACACTTTCTCACTCCTCTGCTCCTTCCCACCTGCCCTGTGTCTTTCTTTCTCTCTCTCTGTCTCTGGATGGTTTCTGGTCCTTCCCTGGATCCCGCCACAGTTGAGCAGATTGTGTCTGTATTCCAAGCTGCTTCCAAACAAAAGGCATGGGACCATTTCTCCAAAGCTCAGCGCAAGAACCTGGACATGTGGCGCAAACAAGCAGAGGTTAGTACACTTTGATTTCAATCTGTGGTTCACCTGATTTATTGAAATTTAGACTTTATCCCATTCTTTTCAGCCGCGGTCTCCCTCTTTACTTTTACAAAGTAGTTTTTTTTAATTGATAGATAAGATATTTACTTTCAGGCTACATAATTACCCTCAAATTCATCAAAAAAGGGGCTGAAAATAGGTCAAATCAGAAGTCAAAAGAGCAGACTCCTTGTGACAGTAAGTACTTTGAATGAAGCCAGGACACAGAACAGGTACTGGCTCACTGCAGCGATTGTGAGATAGAAACACAGGGCTCTGAACCTTCGCCCCTACTTCCTCCTCCTCTCTCTCCACCACTGCCGTCCTTGTTGGATACAAGCTGCCGGTGAGTTCTCCATCTCTAAGCACACAGGTAACACAATAATTCCCCCCCTGCTCCAAAAAATCACAAAGAAAAGTTTTTGAGTGGATGAATGAGGAGGAATTTCTCGAGATGTAAAAGCATATTTATTTTGAGAGGAAAAATAATCACCGCCAAATCAAGCATTGCAGTAATTTATCCCGATGACACACTGTATGTAATAGAGGGTCTGGGTTGTGGTACAGTTCTGGGTGTAATGGACTCATATGTGATTGGTAAGTTTCTTTGAACCTCAATATAAAAAACAACAGATTTATTGTGAAGCAATCAACTTGTACAAAAACATCTCTTTAAAGGTAGGTGTTACAAAGCAGAATTCTTGATTTATGTTTAAATTTGATCAGACCTTGAGGGTCTCACAGGGATCTACTCTCTGTATATACAAAGGATGTTTTAAAGATCAATTATGTGGATAGCAGAGTGATTTTATCGGGCCTCCGGGGACCATTCTTTTTTCCTCCTTTCTTTATAGAGTTGCTGTATACACACTGTCTACAGTAGGGAGTACAGCATGACAATGGATACAAGCATGTCCCCCATTCACAGAAAACAAATCCTTTCACTAAAATCCTTTTGTAGTGTTTCCCTTCCAGCTGCTTTAAACCTAATTATAGGTGTGAGTAGATACTTTATTGTATTTAAGAGTGACACACAACTGTGTTTTACAAACGTTTGTGTCTCATGGTGGGACGCAAACAGAAATATTGGTTTAGCAGTGACTTCCACTGAGTCTGGGTTTCTCTGGAATTGTCAGTTTTTAAGCAAGTTTATGCACAATAAGGAAACAGCCCAGAATCGGAAGACTTAAAAACTAGAATTTTTTACCACTCAGCTAGCATAATCAATATTTCAATACTTGTATGTCAAAGGGCCCGTTCTGTAATTAAGCTCCGCTCCACACCGCTTTTTAGTTTTGCAGACTCTCGCTCGCTCAGCGGTGGTCCTGGCAGCGGCTAGCTCCAAAAAGCTCTGAAAGCGGACCGGACGCTACGTACTCTGCACCCAGAAGACTGACTGATGGAGTGAACTTGATTGAGCATTTAGCATATAAAGAAACCGATATTTCCCTCAGAAGTCAAAAGGAAAAATGGATGAAATGGGTTGATTATTGGACTTTCCGCACAGCTCCAAATGTATTTCACCACCAACTACCGGGCAAAAAGATGTGACTCTCTTGCTACAAGCCGGTTGCTTAGTTCAGCTAAAGAGCATAGAGCTGAACTCTCCGTGCCTGGTCATTTCTTTACATTACAGCGAGTGATTGGATTCAAAAAGTTTATTTTTCACATTGATCTTTTGAAAGGCTGCAGCTCAGAGGACTGGCAGCCTCTGGCCAGTGTAAAGAGCATAGGTAAGTGAGTGCAGTTGCTCAGGGGTACTTTATCATCAAATAGGCAGCCAGTTTCACTCTGTTATATTGTATATTCAATATGATTCTCTGGCCTGGAGGCAAAATATGGAGACAGAATCAGACAACAGCTGCCTGGCTCTCAGTATTTTCACGTGTGTGTGTGTGTGTGTGTGTGTGTGTGTGTGTGTGTGTGTGTGTGTGTGTGTGTGTGTGTGTGTGTGTGGACCTCTGCCATGGGCTCGAGATGATAACATCAGCTGGCAGATGTTTGTAAGTTTGTTTACTCTCGGGCAGCATTATTTTTTTCAGCCTCTTGGTGGGAATCGTTCATTGTTGGAGCGCTTGTGTCACTCCATGTTTGTTAAGCTTGTAAAGCAAAAATACTTAGTATTTATGTTCCTAACTTGATGACCAGATGTCCTTGTTTATGAGATCTATTATATGCTTTTATCAAGACTGTGGGGTTACTAAAGGTGAGTAAAGTTGTATTGTGTTATCAACCCAAACAATGGTTGTATAATTTCCCCACTGGCTTAAAGAAGACGGCGTGTCGTATACAGCACCAAATAAAGCGTTAATAATGTATCTTTCATCCAGGACTGCAATAACACGCTATTATTGCTTATCATTTCTTAGAAAAATGTTCTATTGATTTTATGCTCTTTTAGCGAAACATTCAAATTGGATTTTTCATTATCGAGACGTATCAGCCGTGAGTGTTTTGTTATGATGAAACGCAGAAATTAAATTGGTCTCGCTGATTTATTTAGCTTCTTTTTCTACAAGGCACCTATGTTAACATGGAGGTTTGACCTTGAACACGGTGCCCGTGGTTTACTTTTGTTTGGGTGCACGTTTTTCTGTCACCTTCAGACCCCTGAATGAAAAATGGTGTTATCAGTCTGTCGCCCGACTGCACAGTGAGCTCTGCTCTCGATTCTCCTGCTTCATTATCATAAGACCTCCTGTTCTTAATAGAGACGATGCGTTCCACTGTGGTTAAACATCTGCTCACAAATGGATTGCAAGCGGGCAAAATCCCCTAAAACTGTGCCTTTGTTGCTTTGGTTGTAGCCTGGAACGTCTGCTGCGTGTAAAGCATTAGCAGGATTTTATTGTTTTATTTTCTCTTCCTACAGATGTGAACTCTTTGGTCTTATTTCTTCACAGCCAATCCATTGGTTTGACCGTAATCTTCTAGAGACAAGTCTCTCGATCAATACATGAATGAGCAATTCTGCCTGTAAGGGTACAACGAAATGGATTGGTATCCTACAGTTGCTGCTGTGGGTTTCCAGATGTGGGTGTAGAAATCCCAACGGCACATATTGTAAGCGGTATATGCTCAAAGATGCATTTCATGCCTTGTCAGCTTAAATCTGTGTTTCCTGACGCGACGGTGCTTCTGACGTGTTTGACAGGACCAGTTGTCACACAATTATAGTGTATTTAAGCTGCCTGAATGTGAACAGTTTCTTCAAGAAGTACCAAACTGTGGTTTGTGCTACCACCTGCCCTATTGCTGTGCCAGAGGAGGAGCGTAGCCTCAGCTCCTGAGACTGTCCTTTTCATCTCCTTTGTTGTGAACTGACGTGTCATATTTATTGCTCCACCTCAACGTAGAAATCCAAGCGCTGCCTCATTGACGACCCTTCTACTACGAGCACATGCTAAAAAAATAAATCGTGACTCTGCCATTATTCTTTGCCGCTCTGACCAGTGTGGTTGGTTGTGTCTTGCAGGAGATTAGAAACATGCACAGCGAGCAGCTGATGGGCATCAGGCGAGAGGAGGAGATGGAGATGTCGGACGATGACATGGAGGACTCTCCCGACAGCAAGGACTCTGAGGACTCTGGTATGCACGCGCGCCCTCGCAGTTCCACGCGGCTGTCGAGCTTGGCTGATCAAGGTCTTGGGAGGATGAGCGCGGAGGCCGTTGCATAGATGGGAGTGACTGCCGCGTTTGGCTTAAATGACAGTAATCACCCCCCGGGCATCTGACACCCGTCTGACAACGCCACGCGAATAGAAAACCCGTTCATCGAACTGCGACACCAAGCGCTCTTTACTGAGTTGACGTTGAATATGCGTGCCAAGCGACGTCTGGCCCACCGTGTGATGCACAAACAACTTTGCGTGCCAATCCGTCCACCACTGCCTGCTGCTGCCTAATATTCGATCGGGGCGCCACTGAAGTGCCGTTATCCTTCGCTTCTCCCCCCGCCCCCCTCGGAGGAGTCTCTTTGTGTTTGCTGAAGCGACAAGAACCTCTCGACCGCGATTACGGCAACCTGTAAGTTTTGAATAGGCACCAGGGCAACATGCTGCATCCCGCGTTAGGCTCGTCGTGCGTTTCTTGCCTCTCTCCGTGTGGTCACGCTATCTTCACCTACTCTTTCTTCTCGTCTTTTAATCATTCCAATCTCATGCCGTTTGTTAATATGACGGCTCCACTAATCAGCATGCAAATGTATGTAAATGCACCCGTTGGCACGGCCCCTTCTCTTCTGCAACCTGACCTATATTTAACTAAATGTATTCGCATTGCTGTTGACGGCCTGTCAATCCGCTCGGCGAGGCGATGGGTGCTAATGTGACACTTTCTGTTAGTTGTGTTAACACGCTGACGGTAACACCTCCTTTACTCACTAACCTTTTAGCAAAGAGGGCATGTTTACACGTCCACCAGGCCTGCTGAAAACCACCTGTGTTTTGACTGAAGCCTCTTAAAAAGTGAATCAATGCTCTGCGTCTGACATGTACGGAATAGAAAGCGAGAGAACTGCGTGACTGCCTCTAAGTAAGTGTGTGTGTGTGTGTGTGTGTGTGTGTGTGTGTGTGTGTGTGTGTGTGTGTGTGTGTGTGTGTGTGTGTGTGTGTGTGTGTGTGTGTTTCTATGCATGCAAGCAAGCTCGCGGATGTCTGCAGGTCGATAGCGCCCGCTGTTATGTAACAGGAGGGGGAATTGCTCTGACTCTGGCCAAGCGGTTGACATCCCCCTCACACCAAGTTGATGAGGCTCTCGGATCAATGCTCTTCTCACCTCACACCCTCATTTCTCTGGGAGAAAAGTTCGCACACATACAGCGTGGATGCATGCACACACTCGCCCAGCAAGAGTTCATTAACACCGCCAATGGTCCTTCATGATAGACTGCAGGCAGCACTCATGTACACCCACACAAAAACCTAAGCAGACACGCAGTCATGCGCACACACGCACACGCACACACACACACACGCACGCACACTGACACACACACACACAGACAAAGAGGATGGGCTTATCTCCTCTCCAGTCCGTGTATTTTACTTTTCCAAAAAGCTTCCCCCTGATAATAGGGGCTAATAGGCTGATAATACTGGACATCTCTGGAGTTGAGCAGGTCTCAAATAATAACTCTCACTGTCTCCTCTCTTTGCTCAATAGGTCAGGTCAACTGTCCGGTAGAGAGCGATTGGAGCAGACACTGGGATTATTACGGCTTTCAGGAGTCCATGTTGATGTGGTCCACATGTTTGATTATCTGACACAAATTAGAGATTGTTTGAAAGCATTTAAAGGAGAATTACACCTTTTCTTGGGTTCCTTTTGTGTTGATTGGATTTATAAAGAACAATTTCTTTTTTTTTTGTCCTAGCTGTTCTAACTCGTTCCAAGAGAGTGGATTTTGGGTGTTTCTTTCTTGCTAAATTTAAATCTGATGAGTTATGTTTTTTTTGTTGCTGTCTTCCCTTTTGTTACTGCTGCTCTGCAACTGTCACTACATAACTAGAACTAGTGAAGTGGATTAAGCAAATGGTTCCAGGTCTTCTCCCATTATTAATTAAAAAAAAAAAAACACTGGCCCCTTCCTGGTACTCCGATATCCCTGCGTTCGGCCACTGTTGCCCGTGAAGGCAGAAAGACATTTCCAAATCCGTTGGCGTTGGGACGTAACTTATATTTATCAATCATATTGAAATAGAGCTACATAGAGTTGATGGAGCGAATTATATCAGTTTAACACTTGAATAAATGCGCCCTGATCTTTTTCTTGCAAGGAAGGGCGGAGATATATTTAGCAGCAGATATCGATCAGGACATTTATAATTTTGTGTTTGAGGATACATGAAATGTTCAGGTCAAACTGAGACCCGATCAACGGGGGCAGTGTCGTGCATGATCCACACCATATTCCACTCTGTTCTCTATACCGTCTGTGTGAACCCGTAGGAGTTTCCCAAGCGGAGGCCTTAAAAGAGGAGAACGACTCTCTGCGCTGCCAGCTGGACGCCTACAGGAACGAGGTGGAGCTCCTCAAACAGGAACAAGGCAAGAACCACCCAATGAGCAGCGAGGAGGACACCACACACTCACAGCAGCTCAGCTTCCTGCAGCAGGCCCTGCAAGGCATGCAGAAGGTATCCACACGTCACTTTTCCACTCATCTGGCCTGCAATCATTTTAGTCTTCCCTTCCTAACTGCTGGGCACCTTGATGTTTTTTAGGAACGAGGTCACTTGGGTTACCCCATTGAATCCTCAATGCAATGCGACTGTCATTTATTCATGACCTTGCACTTAAAAATGAGTGCTGTGAAAGTAGAAAAGTACAGCTGTCTGCCGCAGCTGGTAGTCTTTTCTCAAGAGCTGCTAAATAGAAAAAAAAGATCTTTTCAAGTTTAGTCCGGTTAAAGGAAAGCTTATTCGCAGTTGGAATTGGTTTTTTACTTGGGATTGGATGGTTGTTAGTTGTGTTTGGGAAAAACCCAAGGCTATTAATATAATTTCAAACTATTTATTCAAAAAAATCTAATTATATATAGTGAATTTTTCTTTGAAAATATGTTTTGAATACCATTCACCAAAGTACGTACGATTAAGTATAATCACTTGGAAATGTGGTTCTTCGGTCTTCCATTCCCAACATCTCAGTGGTTGGTATTACGGTTTATGAGCGTCATATTTACATACGATGTGATAAGATACAACTCTGAATGAGACTTTGTCAGAGAATGAACAATAGGAGGCAGAGACAAGCATTCATGCCTGAGGAAGAAAGAAAATCCATCACTTACTATAATTCCTTTAAAAGGGAAAGAATTGTCATTTGAAATTGTCTCCTCTGCAAACTCGGCTGAGGAAGATCGCGTGACTTTGGTGACTTTTTCGTTTTCTTGAGTACTTTTGTACGAACTTACTTTTTTGTAAGAACTAAATTGACTCACTTTGGCATTAGTCAAGTGTCCGCACTTAGCCCGCCGTCACAGAGAATGGAAATTATGATCGATTCGCTTTGAGAAGAGAATCCATTACGGCTCCGCTGTTCACTTCTGCTTTGAGAGAGCAAATACCTGCGCATCTTACCTCTCTCATGCCGTGTTTATGAAAAAAAATAATCGAGCGGATTAAATGAACCGGACGGATACCTCTCCTTCTCGGGGTTAAGTCACGCTGAGACGTGAATTGCAATGAAACATTATCAGCGCACGCTGGCCTCCTGTTCGCTCGCTTCAGAGTTGTAGCGCGTGCATCTCTAAGGCGCTTTGTGTGTAGTTTAGCAGAAGGCGACCGCTGGCTGTAAAGACCCCCCGTGTCTCACAGACCCTTGTTTTCTTGACATGAACACAGCAGGAGGGGAATCTTTCCATCTGTGTTCCGCAGATAAATTGGCCATCAAAGCTTTGTCCAACACAAGTTAACCAAAGCACGGATAAAACCCAAATGAGCGTTACTTTTTTCCTGTTCGTCAACTACGCGTAATGGGGGATTATTTTGTGTTTTACAAGCAAAAGATCAGGCAAATTATTCCTCTTGTTGCAAATGCAAACCAAATACAATAAAACAGATTATTAATGAAACCAATGGCTGATTGGTTCTCTGCTTTCTGAGCCTTACAGTAGGTGAGTATTTTCACGGTTCGTTAGTTCACCGTAGCATTAGTGCCCTAATGTTCTCCCATTCTCCTTTTTTTTGTTGCAGCAACTGTTAAAAATGAGGGATGAATTAAAGCTGCGGGAGACGGAGCTTGAGAAGAGTTTGGAGGACAAACAGCAGCTGAATAACCAAGTGCAGAACCTGAAGGAAGGACTCCAGAACCTCCAAAACACGCATGCCATGGAGGTTAGCCTTTGTTTCTGTTTTGACGGGACAAGTGATTTCTGGTTTCAACGCAGGAAAGTCATTGGAGAAATAAAAGTCATCTACGCACAAAACGACATAATGTGATGGTTGCAGTGTGTTGTTTTGGGTCGAGGAAAGGACTCAATCACTTGAACTTGTTTAGAAGGTATCTGAAAGCCCATCAGATCTCCCAAAGTAGCCATTTTGGTTCAAGATCTTTATGAAGACTCATTTCTCATTTCCCTCCAAAAATATATATGATGCAGCTTTTCCGCTAAAGGTCTAGTAAAAGGATTTCCCTCTACTTTGCTCTGGTTATTATGCATTATTCATCTCATAGGAAAAGGAGCATTTTAGGTAATTGTTTTTTACTGTTCCTCAAAGCTTGCTGTGCACCAGTGTGTGAATTTGTATTGACATCGACTTTACGTGAGTTTGTTTCGGGGGATACTCTTCTGGACATCTTTAGTGCTAAACCAATGAGGTGATTGTTCTTGGCAGAAATAAATGAGCTGTTGGTCACATAAAACAAGCAACTTGATGACCCACCTTGGCTCTGATAGGCTTTGCTATAATGCTGCTATAATACCCCAGTTCAAACAATCCAAACGGTCCCTTTAACCGTTTCAGTTAGATCTTTCTTCTCCTTAACCCCTTACATGAGACTGCTTTTCACGTTAGGAAGCAATTTAGAAGCGTAAATATGAGCATGTAAGCGGGATAATGCAAACCTATTCCTTTATAAGGAGCGCTCAGTGGAGGTGTCCATTTTAGTCCACTTGTCCAATCCATTCATTTCCCAATCAGAAACACGGTGAGCAGAGTTGACGCAGTCGAATAGCTTCCACATTGGTCACATACTCCGCAACATCTTGTCCTCTGGGCCACATCAGCTGGCCAATTTATCTTGTGATCGTAGGGGGAGAATACACTAGTAAACCACTGGTGCCGTCTCAGAGCTGTTACACAAGGCCACATCATCACTTAGAGCCACTCCTGCTGCAATAGTCATCCATCAAAACATCCCATTTGTTATTTGATTGAACGTGTTGCTTACATGTTCATGTTGGCATGCTTTTCCCCCCAACAAAAGCCCCATCTGAAGCGAGCGTTACACTGGAAGAGGACGCCGGTAAATGCAGTGCAGTGTGATCTACGGTCTCAACGAGCCATTTCAACCCACAAGGGCCGTTTTTTCCCTCGCTCGACGTGTCGTGTTTACTAATGTTCCAGGGGTTGTCCCGTGTTCCCAGGTTTCAGAGGTTAATGTTTGTTAATGTTCCATTTGGCCTGGTATAATGAGAGCAAGGGCCGTCACTGAGATGAACCTCGGGTTTAATCGCCTTTTAAATTGGATGATAATGCGAACAAAAGGCTCTCCATCCACGTGGGAGGTGGGGGAGGTGGGGGGGGAGGGGGCGTTTGCTTTGGCTTTGGGATGTACTACAGGTTCCATGCGGTGCAGAGGTGAATTAGCAATCGGCTAAACGTCTCCTCACTCCAACCAGAGTGACAGAGTTGTCAATAGCCCGTTAATGGTGATGAGTTTGATTAGAAATGTGCTGCCAGGACGCTGCGACCGGGGAGAATATGCTAATTAAAGTCCTGCACGCGGGCAAACATGAATCATGAAAGGCAGTCTCATTAAAGGGGGGAAAGAGAAATCAATTTTGGGGTGTGGGTTTCTCTGAAGATAAGCAGTTGCTTCGTGTTATTTGTCATGTGGAGGAGAACTCTCCAGTTATCCTTCACAGTTGCTGCTGTCTCCGCACATTAGCCGATTGGGACCAGTGCCGGTCACTGCAGCTATTAACCTTATTACCGATATGATGAAAACAAAAGCCTGGTGTCATATTTTTCAGTTGACACTGATGATTTATTTTGCCATTGATTTATCTGCCGTTGATCTTTCTGATTGAAGGAGCACTTTACTGTAGCATTTCTGTGAAGACCTCATTAAGCTGGCACAGGCTGGGTGCTCCAACCAACTAACTGATGCTCATGTGCAGTCTATAAATTAGAAAATTGTGGAGACTTCTCCTAATAGTTCCGCTGATTTCGCCTTAAAATGGTTTGTTTTTGTCCAACTATCCGTCCAAAAAGTTTCTGAAAAGTTTTTCTGAAATGGAAATTATGATTTTGTCATATAATTGTCACAATAACCTTTTGGGCTGCCGTCACCCCACTACACATGGACATTACTCAGTTTCCCTTTGGCGTGACTTAAAATGTTCCAAATCAAAGCATAAAAATAATTAAATTAAATTCTGTCTTTTTAGCAAATCGCCAAAACATCTGTAATTTGTTACAATATTAACAGCTGACTGTTCTGTGCCAATTTTGACTCTGATTCTATCCAAATGTAGTTTAACGCCTCTTTTCTTGTTTGTTGAAAGTCTGCACATTATTCTGAACACAGATGTTGCCTGTACTCACACACCACACTGTGCTCTCCCCCACATCAGTCTGACATTCTCTTTGGTATGTTCCTAATGTTCTGCAGCTGGAGCAGTTGAAGCAAGACGACCGAGGCGGCGAGGAGAGCGCCAATCAAACCAGCGTAAGTGGGAAAGGTTTAAGTCCTCCCCCACTGCTCTCTCTCCTTCCTCCTCCTCCTCTGAGACTCTCACTAACCTCTTCCAGTGACATGGCATGATCATTACGGGCCAATCCAGTTCACGGCAACCGCTTTTGTCCTTGAATAAATCACCCAGACACGACTGGGCGAGGAAATCATCATCTCATAAAGTCAAAATGGCTTGCACATGTGCCTACTTCTCCACTCCCACACACTGAGTGTTTTGGATAGATTAAAAACGGAAAAGGGCCACCAGGCATCTCTCACCATGAGTGGAAATGGTACACACAATGCCGTGCAGGACAACAATCGCGTCCCTGCCACCTGTCAGATCTGAAACATCTGAAACCCGCTTGATCATTTCCTCTCAGTGTCTCTCGCCTTTTATCTTTGGGTGCAACATGCATTTCATCCCTCTATCAGAAATATAGCTGCTGGCAAAAATAATCCCACTCGTCCTCTTTGTATTAACGCGCTGGTGGTGAAACTTTCTGGTGTTTTCATTCATATTCATGTTTGTTCTTCTTATGAAACAAAACAAGCCTGTTTCCTCTTGCCAGCCGCAGTCGAAGGTAGTTCTTTAACTGTGTGTGTGTCACTGTGTGTGTTAATGTGCGCAGGAAGCCACCGTTTCAACCGTGGTGTCCTGCAGTCAGGAGAAGGACGGGCCTACAGAGAAGAGTCCTCAGAGTCCCGTCCACTCGGAGAGGGAAGCCCTGCTAGTCGGTACGCTGCCGCCAGTCCGACTCTTAATGTCCAATTCTTTCTAAATGCTGTTTTTCAAATGTCTCCCAATTTGTTTGCTCAGAGGTCAGTGTGTATTTTTTGGCCATAATTTTGTAATTTATAAGCCAGAATCTACAAGCGTCTAATGGGTAGAGCGATAAAGCAAGGACGTTTTGGGATGACCTGGATTGCTGGTGGCATCTGACCGCTCGGTGGTTCTAGTTCGTCCGTGGCACTCGGTGTGTAGGAATTTGATTGATTGCACATTTGTTTAAGAATATGTTACCTATGGGCACCATGATTCTGAAAATGAAGTTGAAAAAACCTGAAATGATAAGCTCCTTCAAAATTGCCTTTAAAGACTACATCACACGTCCGATCTCCCGAGCAAGTCCGTACCTGCGTCAAATGGCCGCGCTGCTGCTTCTAGCTGCCTCGAGGCTTCTCTCTCTCTCTCATCCCTCTCGGGAGAGTTGAGGATGCTTTCAGACGGAGCGGTTGCTTCGGTCGCAGGTCGCCGCGTCTCCCGGCTACCCTTTGATACCGACCGTGTGAACTCCACAGCTTCTCCTTTATCAATGGGTCCTATTGCTCACTAGCTTGAACATTGTTGATTGCACCAGGCCAGACGCTCCCGTTTTTGAAGCCGGTTTTGCTTCAATAATCATCTGCTGAGCAGGTGTGTCATCGAGGGAACTGTGGCGCTCTTAAATCCGCTCCGGTATTGTTTCCCTCGCTGCGGTTTTCATGCGGTTGCCATGGTTGCCATCAAGTTGGAAAAGTTGAATACCCTCCCTCCCTCCCTCTCCTCCTCCCTCCCCCTCCCTGTAACCACTCCCTGTCTGCAAGCAGGCTGTAGTGGTGCGTGGAGTGGGAAAGGAGAGCTTCGGAGTAAGGGTCCAACCCTGCTCCCTTTCCATTGTTCGCACACCTCAGCAATTGCTGCATAAAGTGAGCATTATTGCATAATGGTCTGTTGGAAATCGTTGGACACGGCCCGGAGCCCCCTCACTTTAAGTACAGAGAGGCCTGAAGGTGCGTGCCTATTCCTAGATCCATCTCCGTTACATAAAAGTACCGTAAAGTAATTGACACAGCACAAACCTGGAGGCGGGAGGTAATCCACAATAGGGCGTATTGGTTGGTTTCTAAGGCTGCAGGCGTTGTACTTGATGGCGGTTTGAAGGGGCTATGAGATGATACGCCATGCACAGAATGGCGGAGGAACGGCGGGTCAGGAGGGACTCGCAGCTCAGTTATGCTGAGGGGCACTCGGGAAGCTTACCGCGGCATTGTGTGGAAACTGGCAGCAGGTGTGAAAGCGGATATTCTCGCGGCGCCTTAAGATACAGTTTGAAGCACTGAGTGCTTAAAAATTCGGTAAAAATACTCCGAGATTCACCCTTTCTGGTGCAATTTAGGGTTGAAATCTCATCTGCTACTGTTGAGGTGTGCATGACAATGTAAAACTTGAGCTTTGGATTCACAGTTTGCATTTATCCAGAGTTGGTAGACCCAAAGAAGGAAATGTGATGTAAATGAAGGGGAACAACTTGAGTTCCTGTGGACTTATAAAAGTGTTTAAACGATTATCTCGTGTGATTATGCATTGATAATGTCTTATTAATGTCTTAATATGACTTAATATGTCTGCACACTGAGTGGGTGTGTGTAGTTACAGCCAACGTCTGCACACGTTCATTCGCTCTTTGAAGGGGAATAAACACTGACAGCAAAACCACACCAGTGGGCGCTTTCATGCAAATAAATCAACATGAGCCCTACTTGGTATCGTATCTGAATGGACCATTAGACTCCCAGTCAGTCTCTGGTTCAGTGATCGGCTCCGGGCTCGCACGCTGTTTATGTTTTCCAGTTCGACTCACCTCCAGCAGGCAGCGAAAGGAGCCTTGGGGTTGTCCTTTCCTCCTAAAAGCCCCAGGTGTTTGGCGTTTAGTGTTCCTGGTGTCGGGGCCAGTGGACCGCTTTGTGGCTCTGACAGTGTTTGCGGGTCAGCCTCTCGTTGCCGTGTAGGTGTTTACAAAGATTATCTCTCTTCTGGCCCTCTCTGTGAGCGGATGGCAGATGGTTTGTTTGAGCTGGGGGAGAGTACGGCTTTGATGAGAGACAACGGCATCAGAAGCTGTCACTAAACACTCCCTCTAATCCGGAGCCACAATAAACCAGACGCTCCTCAGCGCACCGGGACGCTGAAGCAGTGCAGTCGTTTGGCCGTTAGGTGCAAGGAAATCTGAGGTTTTCCTGTTGTATCTGCTTTGCTATGTTCCCATGACTTGTCTGTTTCTCCCTCAGGGATCATTTCGACGTTTCTGCACGTCCACCCGTTCGGAGCCAGCATCGAGTACATCTGCTCCTACCTGCAGCGCTTGGACACCAAGGTAACCGGCACGCGGGGATCATTCTGCCCCCGGTATCCCTGTGGATCAGATGCACCCGTACAGGCTGTGTGTCAGTCTGTGTCAGTGCCCCATGCAGCGCCGACATATGGGCTCGCTGTGTTTGCCAGGCTTCTAGAGACACACACACACACAAACACACACACAGGGCGTCCAAAGGGCTCTGTAATGCTTTTGGAGGAGACATTTTAAGGTGAGGTAGATACACTCGATATTTTGAGGAGCAGTATGGATATTCTCATCCAACTCTCTGCCAAAATGTTAGTGTAGCCCTTCTTAAGAATGTGAATATGATTGGCTGGTGTACTTTCGTGTGGCAGATTAAATCTGCTGCAGATCAACACATATTAGTAAAGTCTGGCTGTTTGCTCTCTGCAGCTCGTGTCAGTATTCAGCCAAAGATTCTTTGAGTGGAAAGTAATTTCCTTACACCGTAGTTATCTAGTTGATAACCTTGAACCAAATCACCCTTCAGTTTTTCGAGTCAGTAGCTCGTAAAGTACTGAGGACCACAGCTATGAACATTCAGAAGTAAAATGCTAAAAACTGTTGTTACTGCCTTCTCGACCAAGAAAAGGTGTTAAAACTCTTATTAAAGAGATAAATCTGATACCTGATTTGAATTTGATAAAATGGTATCAAACCCGATCCTGAGACCCGAGTGCAACAGGAATGAATGTGTAAGAAAACCCAATCACAAATTAGACATATAATACATTCATCATCTTCAGTTCTAAGTTGAATCCAAAATACTTGTCAAACTTTGTTTCTCTCACTTTTCTATCCTGAAATGTCATAGCTATGACATATGTCTGGCCGTATGTGGATCGTTGTGTGATTTCCCCTGACGCAGGAACATATTAAAAGTAGATCCTTCATTTTGACACTCGAAGCCTAGAAACATCTTTTAGTTTCTAAGCACAGCTATTTCATGCCCATCCATCTACGGAGGCATTCTAGACGTATTACCGCTCTGCGCCGCCACTCACACGAGGATTTCAAAAGGCCAAATTTTAATGTAACCCCCCCCGGAAGGTAACGCCAAGATTAACGGCCTGTTTTATTACCGTGCCAACGAGGACATCATCAGGAGAAACGGGCCGATGTCCTCTCTCCCTTTACAGTCGCAGTCTCCGGCCGCACAGAAGACAAATTCAACTTCTGTGCAGAAACCGTCCAATTCCAAGCCACTTAAACTCCCTCAAGAATTAATTGAATCCACAAAAACGTTGTCTCCTCGTCCACAGGGTTGCCCCAGGAAATGATTGTTCTCTGTAGCCAGTCTTTGAATGTCCTCATCACCAACCTTGACTCATTCTCACACTTGCAAAGAACAGAGTGGACCGTCTTCTCTCATGCCTTTTGGGTAATTTAGTCTGTGCCTTCACGTGTCTGCGTGACAACGTACGCCCACTCCGATCCGTCATTGTCTCGTCTGTCATTCTCGCGTTGACTCTCCGCCACTGACAGTTTTGTCAGTTTCACCGAACCGAGACTCTCCGGCACACAAGGCCAATCCGCTCTGCTTATCTGCCGGCCCCACGCGCGGCTCCGTCGTCTAGTGATGTCACACCAGCGCCGTCTCCGCGATGGGCCTTGATGCGTCCTGACACCGGCATCGGACTCCGACGAGCCAGTTGTTGATGCGCGACACCGTGGGTCGGCAGCGGCAGCTCCTGCAGGGGATTTTGGTAAATGTCACCTCAGGATTACAGGTGACTGATGATCCTCGGCCCACCCGAGCGCTGTGAGCCTGATCTCCCTCAGTCAGGTGGCAGCGCCATCATTTTACACGAACCACGGTCCTCTTGGCTTGGAGTGGAGAGGAGGTGTTGTGCGTAAAAGAATAAAACGTGTGCGCAATGTTCAAAGTTAAGTCATCGGTTGAATTGGCAGAAATATTGGTGGGCATATTGATTACGGCAATAGACCCTGTGCTAGTTTAAATATGAAGGGGAGGTGCAAGGTGAACACATATTACGAACACACGTTAAAATAAACGTACATTAATTTCAATAGAATTGTGATGTAAAGATTATTTTAATGAACAATTTTATTTCATCATTAAAAAACATCCCATGCAAAAGAATACCATTAGTGATTCAGCAAGTCTCAAATTTCATGAGTCAGCATAAAGCAGCACGTGTAGGATTTAGAGACCTCCAGTGGTGGGGTTGCAGATTACAGCCCACTGAAAACATGATGGTGAGATAAAGGATTTTACGGCTTTTAATTCCTGCAAAGTAAAAGTGCGTAAAGCTCTTTGTAGATCCAGCGTTGGGTTTGTCCTTTCCGGGCTACTGTAGAAACCCGACGGACTCTGAAGATATGAACGTCTCATTTCAAAGCTAACAAAACAATTCTTACGTTTTATATTTAATTTTTACCAATCAATCTCCTTAAATCCTACACAACGTTCTTTTAAAATGCAAAACTTTTCTAAAGTTGGAATCCCTCCCGTTGGCTCGTCTGGACGACAGAACCTGTGCACAGGAAACGGCTCGAGGCGTGACGGGTTGGAGTTCTATGCTGCTGCTTTGTGTGAAGCCGTTGCAGCCCGTCAACGTAGGGATTTTGTTCTGAGCCGTTTGTTGGCACACTTCCTGTGAGCAATCAAAACAAAGTTTCATCAAAAGTCTGCCAAAATACCGTGGTCCATTCCGTCACAGTTTTTAATTAAATGAGACACGGCTTCGGCAGCCAAGTCACTGTTGTTGTTCTGTAGACCTGTCGGTACTTTTCAAAGATCTGATTCGCATTCATTGCAAGTTGAAATGGCAACATGAAGATGGATCGTCTAATTCTGGTCTAATCTTTGTGTATTTCTGCAGATCAACACCGGCGAGGTGGAGGCTCTTCTCTCCCGGCTGCCTTGCACCTTCAGACAGGAGCTGACCGGCGTCGGCGCCAGTCTGGAGAAACGCTGGAACTTCTGCGGCTTCCAGGGCATCAAGAGCACGTAGACTGTTGCCGGGAGACAAGACAGCGGGGAGGGGGGACACTGTAAAGATGCAAAAGACGCGGTATAAAGCCCACAAATATCAAAGACAGACTGTACAAGGACACCGAAGACTGAGCACACAGCTCAGATGAGGAGCATTTCAGGGACTCTGTGGGTGGCGGAGATGTAAAAAAAAAAAAAAAAACACCATTTCCACGGTCACGTGAATGTCGGCGGCAAACACTCTCTATCACGTCTAAATGTTGTTAGACCTGACGACTCTCCAGAAGACCGCCGGCCTCTACAGTCACTGGATTATTATGTAGTAGTCGTGCTTTCTGAGCCTGGTCAGTGGCTCCGTACGGCGTCAGTGAGCAGCCGGGGCCGAGGAGGCCGACGGGGTCCACGGGAACACTTGAAACCTCCGAGCTCTTTGGCCTCCAGCGCTCCGGTTTTTGCCGATCCTGGTTTGTAAAATAGATTTAAAAAATGGATATATTTCTTCATTTTCTGTAAATGCCGTTGCATAGAATTATTTGTTGTTATACACTGTAAATGCTTGGATGATATTTTGATTATAAAAAGACAGTTGAGTATATAAAAGTTTCAAGTAATATATTTTTTTTATCCGATGCTCGAATATTCAGGTTGTAAAATAAGTGTGTGTGTGTGTGTGTGTGTGTGTGTGTGTGTGTGTGTGTGTGTGTGTGTGTTGTACTACAGTTGTAAAAAGCCTTCCAAGGATCACTGTGTCCTCTGAGAAACACAGATGCATCCACGTTTGCACCCATTCTTGTTTGAAGGGCATTGTTTTGTTTCTACCTTTTTCTCCTCTTGGGGCTTCTGCACTGAGGCTGATTTTTGAAACCTTACATGAAGCCATTTGTGTCCTTTCTAAAGAAAAATGAAGCCGGGGGCTGACTGCACAGCGGCGTCTCACTTTACTGGGAAACACACCAGAGGGGGTTATGTAATGATGTTTAATTGGTGTGATGCAGTTTTTGTGTTGTACAATTTGCACACAAAATGTCTGTGTGTGTATTCGCGCGGGCTACTTTCCAGGATCCATATATCGAACGGTTACACAACACTATGGAAGGAACTTTTTGTCTCCATCCAAACCCGATTCATAAATCCCAGTCAGGCCTTCTCGATGACCCCGCCACCCCCCCGACTCCGAGCAACAGAGCTTTATTATCCCACGTGATCCGCGCTCGCTGAGCCTATTTATCTCCTGCAGGCTTTCTTTTTTAAGTCTGTGCCCGTGCGCTTGTCAGGTACTCCTCCTCGTACCCGAATTAATAATGGAGAACGAGAATGTTTTTCCTACAAGCTTCCACTAGTCGTCGTCCCCCCCTTCCCTATGCATTGCATCTATTATTAACAATAATAGATGCAATCGTTTGGAATGGGAAGAGGGGTTACATGGGTGATGCGTCGTGGGAGTGGGCCTCCATGCGTGACCTCTGACCTTTTTGTTTGAAGGCCGTTGTCTGGCGCGATCAGGGGAGAGTTGTCTCCTCTGCACGCATCCAAAAACCGAGACTGTCTCGACATACGTTCTCCACTCCTTTATGATGATGATGGCGATGAAGCCGCGCATCGCCTCCCTTCCTCGCTCTCTTCATTAGGCGTCTCTCTCCTGCGCTTCCCGACATAAACAAAAGCACTAATATGCCGCGTTGTTTCCCTCCCGGAAGTCTCGTTCTGCCTCGCGTTTCCTCCCTTGCCGATGAACTGCGAGGCGCTCGTGAGTTGTCTCTTTTACAGCGGTTTTGGTGCGCGCGCAAACACGCTCCCGGTGGCGCATCATACTCTCTGGCGTCACACCAAGGAGGTAAGCACGGACTCATTAAATCCCGCTGCAGTCCGAGGTGCAACATGTCCCCCGGTGCCGTGGACGAGCCTTGGCAGGTGCACAAGTCTGACTTTAAGGGCACAAGTGTCGTTTCCTAGGAAGGAGTCGGTAAATCCGTCACGCTCCAGAAGGTGTAATTGGACGTGAGGAGATAACTGGGTTCTTCGGGGTGATGTGATATGATACTGGAGATTACCTTTTCCCCTCTTGTGTTTCCTCTACTTGATTGTGATTTTGGCCTCCTTTGAGCGAGCAGGTGGGAGCACTGGTCCACAGTAAGGAAAAGACCACCCCAGAAGGTGGTCCAGGAGGACGCGGGAGGAGCATCGCTTCCTAAGCTCGTCCACAGCCGATGGATCTCCGCGCACGGAGCTCAAACTGCTCATTGACGGGATGTGATGAGTCGCCAGCTCTTGCCGTCGAGCGCCACAGCAGATACACCTCACTCCATTCGGTCAGGCAGTGGGCCAGAAGGTTCCTATCTCAACAGAATCTCCACGGTCTTCATTAGTTCAGGTTTGCATAAAAGCCCCTCAAATGTGCTCCACCGCCGTGGTGGCGGCGCTGCAGCACGGCTCCATATCTGCCTGCAGGCACTTGGAATGACATCTTAGGAACCCCAAACTATGGAATAGTAAAACTAGGTTTCTTTGAGGATTATTAGTTTGGCAGCTACCAAATCCTGTTTGCACAATGTTTTTTGTTTACTCCTTTTGGCATTCAAGGAGAATCGCATGCACTTTTAGCTCTGAATGAATAGCAAGTGTCTGAGTAATTGCTTTACACTGCTCTCCGAGGCGTCTGCAGATTTCCGTTGAGCGTGACACACGGAGCATCTTTGCGCTTGATTCAGTGCAATCTCCTTCTCCTCCTTTCTCCCCAGTTCTACATCTTCATGCAAACCGTAACGACGCAGCAGTGAATGCCCTTAAGGTATTTTAAGCCACTAAGTGGGCTCTGCTAGATCAAATACTCCCTACAGGTGAGAGGGATGCTAGAGAGGGGGGGGGACCCTCTCTTTTTACTTTTGGAAATGTATTCGTGGGATTCGTCCAAAAAAAAGAAAATGTGCAGTTTTAATTCTGTTCGGTCTGAGAAAAGGTCTCGGCCGTAGATCCTCGGCCCATTAGTTGGCGAAACCAGTGGGCCTGATCGGTGTGTTTTTGATGTGAAATGCCAGCACATTTCAGGCTCAGGTTAGATGAGATGGTGAAAGTCTCTCCTAATGAGCGATGGCCTCTCTTCGTGCTGTTACGAATGGAGTGACCTTTAACCAAAGAAGGAATTGCTTTGCACTGGCAGCAATTAGTTGCACTGTGGAAACTTATTTGAGCAAAGTTTATTTTGGGGGTATGAGAAGTGGTTTGGTGAGCGTCAGTTCTGATTTTAAGGGTTTGTTGTGTTTGACAGCAAAGCATCCTCATGTGGGGTAAAGTTAAATCATCGCAGGATTTCCTTTTTCTTTTATTTCATTGTGTTCTTGACGGCCTGCAAACAGCGGAAGGCCCCGCGGGGACGCCTGCCAACACGGGGAGGTAAGTGGTGCAAAGCGACACGGCACATTCACGCCAACAAAGCCAGGTTTGTGTACATGGACCAAATACAAGAGATAACAGGAGCCGGCCCTTTGGAAATGCTTTAGTCGCATGAAGGGATGTTGAGGAAGAGCAGGTGGGGGGAAAGTGCTTTTACCACATTCAATGCTTTAAAGGTAGTTTATTTATATGGCGCTTTTAAAAACGCTTTACAAAGGGCTTTGACTGACAAAGCAGCAAAAGAAAGGCAATAAAACATCAGAGAGCTCAACAGCCAGGCCCAGCAAAGCCAGTGAAACAAAAATAAGAGGTAAATGCCAATAAAATAGGGCAATAGAATTCAAAATAAACTCAATACAATTAACTCAATGAATAAACCAAAATCATTTCACAAAATCACAAAAAAAAGATCACAAAAAAGCCAGTCTGGAAACTTGGGTTTTAAGAAATTGCCTCAAAGCTACCTCATGAATTTGGTCATATCTCGTGTACCTAAACGTTGCATCCTTTATTAGATTGTAAGCAATTTATTTTGATTATTTGATTATTTGACTGAAAAAAGTTAGCAATGGCAGGATATTATAGAATAGAATGTGTGTACTTTGCAATAATGGTGTAGCTGGATAAGTAGGATATGCTACTGAGCATCTTCGGTTACATTTGAAAAAAAAAAAAAAGATTGTCAGTTGTACTAGTAGCTTGAAACATGGCAGCACAGATTGTTCAACAAAATGAACATTTACAGATGTTCATCAGAAAGCTCTGGAAATGAGATTAAAGAATAAACTCCAAATGGGAAAGCTGCGTCGACTCTTTGGATGGACGCAGCACCGTACAACCTCCAGACTTTCACACCTCCGTCAGTCCTCCGTCACAGATTACAGTTGTGTAGTTCCACATTCACATACATGACCTTCTGCATGAATAATGCACATGTCTCCATGTGTGAACACTGCTTTAATGTCAATTTCCTTGCACAAGCAGAGCGTGCAACATGTGCAATGCTCTCTTTAATCCCATTATGTAAATAACCTGCATGCTAGTAAATGCCAAGTAATTACAATGTGCAATGCTACTGATTTATGAATATTAATTCAATTTGACAACTGGAAAAGTGAAAAAACAATCTGCATTTATCTGCTGAAACATTTTCTTAAGGGAGAAGGAATTGGCAAACAGTTAACTATTGGTAACTATTGCTATTGGCAATGCACCTTGCATACATTATGCATATTTTATATTTATTGTATTTGTATTTATTGTGTTTATATATTTTTTTTCTTTTTCAGTTACCAGCACTGCGAGTGACGAAGTTTTGTGGCTTCATGGGTTGTTCTTGTTTTTGATCGCAATCAAATGTTTTGCTCATGCTTGTCTTTACAATAAACATCTCATTTCACTTTTGTGCTGCGTAGATCATTTGAGTGCAGTGTTTTTCTCCCTGTTGTTTCATATGTACTTTAATGGACTTCAAGATGTTTTGAAAGTAGTGGACGGGGAGTTTTTCCTCACTCTATTAACAATTTCCCACATAGACTTAATATTGCTTTTACTCTCCTGCAGCTTTTTAGTATAGTATTCATTCTTGGCCTGGCTCATTATCCTGACAGTTTAATTTAATGTGTCTTTTGTGTTTCATTACAGTGGACTAGTTCTATATTTCACAAATTCTTTGTATGACTATTAATTCTTATAGGCTTTTTGCAACAAGACTTTAACTTGGTTTCCTATAACACAACAATTATTTTTTCACAGTATATATATATATCTTTAAAGAAAAATTAAATTAAATTAAATTTTACAAATACTTCCAATCCTTCTCAAAAATGAATTAGTGAACTAATTTCTGGCCTCATCTGTTATGAATGTGAGCCGTGTGATTTCTGCATCCTTTTTAGGTGGGGATAAAGTCCACCAGACACAGCAAACACCTGGAACTGATTATTTGTACAATTTATTACTAGCCTGTTTGAGTAGTGCCACCATATTTCATGTTATGGTTAGAAAAGGAGAAGTTGTGTCCAGACTCCACTGCCGCCCGGCAGTTATCATAAATGTCCCAGGAGGTTGATAGCGAGGTGCAGATTCAGAGCATTGATTGCAGAAGTCTAGCAAATTTCCCAGCTCAGTAAAGTGTGACCCTGTCGATGACTTTCTGCAATATTTCGTGCATCGCGTTTTTTTTCTGTCAGTCAGCGGTGCAGAGAAGGCTGCTGGTGAGATTGCATCACTGCATTAAGTCACAGGGAAGACAGATACTGCAGGAAGAGTCTAAAAACGGTTTAAATTCTCTACTTGCTGGCGGCACCGCAGCTAGATGGATATTATTTAATTAGGCTTGTTTCTCTCTTATCAAAGCCCAAAGTTTATGAATTCACGATGCTGGAGTAAACGTGTACCTGCACCAAACAACACGCACTATCCTGTTGATGACGGTTTCTTTGCAATCGTATTTAGTAACATTTCATCAGGGCGCATGTGTGCAACCTCGGCAGTTTTCTGCTTGACAAACGGAGACGTGATGGAACGCGGTGAGGAGAGCATTTGCATTGCAAAAACGCCCACGCCGACGTGACATTTAGCAACGTTCACAGCGGATCTTGCGCCCTGGAGAGGTGTTGTCTGCTCTGAAAGTGCCGTTAACGGCAGAATCTGAACTACAAGCTGTTGATTGGAATCCGACTCATCGGCTTTATCATTATTTGATGCAAATAAAAGTTCAGGTGGTACATATCGACTACACACTCAGAGCTATACTTGAACATTAAAGTCTAAATGTCACAGCATATGTTTGAATATGGAGAGATGGATATTTGTTCTTGATAATATCAGATCTGCTGGTATCTGCTCCTTTTATTTTTTTTTAAATAATGGAATATAAACGTTTATGTGTGTGTTAAGTTTGGTTGACTTGGGCACTAGATCTACTGTATAGGTCTCCCTTGATGTAAAGACATCCTGCAGTTTCCTCTTAGTTGGAGTGAAGTCAGAAAGAGCAATATGATGCTCAGCATTAGTTGAAAAGTGTAACCGAAGTGCATATGTTAAAAGTTTAGACTTGTTTTTTACAGTGCACATCGATACGGCCTAATCACCTGTGATGATCTGACTACAAGGGCTTTTGCCTGTAGAATTTAAGACATCTGTGAGGCACTATTTCATCCAATTGATTTTGGTAACTTTCTATTATTTTCCCTGATTAGCTTCAAAGAGAAATGGTATATCTATATATCAGCTCGGATGTTTTTTGAACGGGTTCCTCTGCACAGCTAAAACATTCCTGCAGTTTGTTGCAGACAATCTGACTTTGAATCAGATATTATACATAAGCCCCTGACTCTATTACTACTTTTCGGATTATGAGAACTTGCTCAATGTGTAAATATGTCACTGTGTGTGGTTGCATGTAGCAGTCCCACTGGGTGACCTCATACTGCCAGTGATAATCTCTTCCCAGAACTCATGCCAGTTTAATCATGTTTGCAAATATTTGAAGCGCACACACACCCGTGCATAGTCACGTGGGTATTGATAATCAAAAGCTCTTTCTCAGTGCTCGTTTAGGGAGTCACTGTCTTGAGGAGTCCAAGGCCAGAGGAGAAGCAGAAAGTGTCAACCAGGCGGACACAGATCTGATAAGGATGAGATTTAGAGACACACCAAGCACCATAAAACAATCACGCTTTGTTCATTATGTTCACATTATGTTAGGAGACCACACATTGCATGTGATTGGATCTTGTGTTGTGACGAGAGGACCTGCTCCTCCTCGACGTTTAAGGCCAATAGAAATATTTTCTTTTATATCTAACAAGAAATATAAAATGTAATGTTTTTCCTTATGTTAGTCAGTTGTTCTTCCGGCCTGCGGGCCGACAGAACTGCTCCTGCCTTTGCAAACGCAGCGCTTATACTTGACCTGTGATCTGACAGATAAATCTACCAGAACGAGAGAAATTGTTTGGCTGAATTTGTGCAGAATAACCCCAACCGGGCTTCCAATTTTGTTCACGATCTTTCAGTGTGCATGTGCAAACACCCACCCAGGAGGCTGTAAACGTGAGGATGGACCACTGTTTCTTTGTCAAATAAACTGCTCCTTGTGTATTGAAGTCTCGCCTCGAGCTCATTTCTTATCGACCCCCTAAACTTTCCTCCACATTTGCTTCTACAATCCTCATTTTATCTGTGTGCAGTGTACTGAGCTCGGTGCATTGTTGCAGCTATATTGTTATTTTGGATTAGCTTTGTGTGCAATTCTGTTGTGTTTGTGTGCGTCCGAGGCCCATTAGGAGGTCCCTTAAAGTCTGTCATTTTCAACCTCAAGTCACCGTAGAGAGAGTTCACTGTTTATTTGGCAGCTATTTCTTCAGTCCAGCTCCTCCCATCTCCTGTCAATGGACTAAGCAAAGTTAAGAATGCTCAAATTCACCCAACTTGTGACTGCGTTTTTATAAGCACCAGCAGCATTTACTGTTGAATTTTAGACACAACTAAAACCCCTGTGCATGCTTCAGTGTTTCCTTTTCGTTTTTCTTTATGGCCTACAAATATCTAAACTTGCCCTCTGCAAGATAAACTGTCCCATCAGAGATTTGATCTACACCTTAGAACTTATGATAAACATTTTTAGTACTGCAGGCTTTTCCCACAGACTTTTTTCAGTTTTCTTTCTGACTTACTTGTAGACGGGTATCTGCGTGGATTGGTGTTATACGTGTATGTTTATTGGGACAAATAAGGACAGTTCAGGAAATGTTCTGAATTTTGCTGCAAATTATACATAAAAGTGCATGTTATAGCAAATGTATTATATATTGTTCGATTTCCCTCAACCTCACTTAACAAATTATGATGGGGCATTTTATAATAATGATTCATCATTAATGTGAACTTTTTAAGGCTTGTTTTAAATAAAAATATACCAAATATTTTCTCATATTTTATTATAATAAATGAAACTACTGGAGCGTCCATATAAGAATAAAGCAAACTTTCTTGCTCTTTATCCATTTGTGTATCTGCACCCACTGATCCACCAGTTACGACTTCAGGGGCCTCTGCACTGAACACAGGTTTCTCAAATGGGGCTTCAAACGGTAGCAGATGGCCAAGCGTCGATATTTCAGCCTTTTTTTATTCAGATGGCCATCTGGTTTCGGGTTTCAGTGACAGGAGGAGACCTCAGCGAAATTGAAAGAACGAAGCGTTTCCGTGGTTGAAACCATTTCCATAATAGGTGAGGCGGATGCTCCTATAATGGGAATGCGAATGGCCCATAGTTGGTGGAGAAATTGGTTACGGCAGATACCGTCTTTGACGAAATGTTGATGTTGTTAAAACTCTTGGCCTTTCCTTTTGCACCTATTTATGCGTCCTGTTGTTTAAACCATGAAACATCTGGTCCAGTTGTTCGACTCGCAGCCTTGCCTCCGAACAGAAAACCAGCAGCTCCTACATAATAGAAGAAAGCCATGAAACCCAATTCGCTGTAACCTGCAGTTATTTAACTCAAAGAAAGACCCCAGATTGGTTCATTGAAGAAAAAGCTTGCGAGCTCTGGTTTGTTAAACCTCTTAAATGTTGACACAAAGTACTGCTATTTGCCTACTACAAACCGTAATGTTTCCACTTCTCCAACAATGTCACAGAAGAGATTAACTGAGGTGAAACACACACCGTTCCACTGATATAAGTCACTTTACAGTTGCAAAGGGGGCAAAGTGGTTCAGTCTCATTTGTCCTTTCAGCAACAGCGACACTTGTGGCAAAACTACTGCCATGTAACTTTGACACCTGTGACTTGTCAGGGTATCTTTGCTCTGCTCGACTTGCTAACTGATCTTGGATGTCACCAGAGAGTGGGTCTGCTGCTACAAGGGCTTGTTTTTCAATTTGTTTGTGGGCTTGGCCTTTTGTAAATCGTATGAGGAACTGAAGCCTCTCTCTGTCTGTTGTCGTTTGATTTGTTAAGTGACTTTGCCAATTACCTGCTTTTAGATCAAACATGGGAAATTAACCTGAAGCGCTTGTTTTGCTCTTAACTACTGGAACGTCCTCATAAGAATAAAGCAAACTTTCTTGCTTTTAATTCATTTGTGTATCTGCACCCACTGATCCACCAGTTACGACTTCAGGGGCCTCTGCACTGAACACAGGTTTCTCAAATGGGGCTTCAAACAGTAGCAAATGGGTAAGCGTTGATTTTTCAGCCTTTTTTTTTATTCAGATGGGATCTGGTTTCTGTGACAGGGGAGGGAACCTCAGCTAAATTGAAAGAACGGGGCGTTTCCACGGTTGAAAGCAATTTTCATGATAGGTTAAGTTGGTGTGAATGGCCCATAGTTGGTGGAGAAACGGGTTACGGCAGATACCCTCTTTGACTAAATGTTGCGGCTAAAACCCGTTCCTCATATATAGGGGCCTTTCCTTTGGCCCCTATAAATGCGTCCTATTGCTTAAACCGCGCAGGGAGATCTGGTCCAGTTGTCTGACTCGCAGCCTTGCCTCCAAGCAGAAAACCACGAGCAACCTTCTCCAAGACTGGGGTAAGCTGTAGAAATAAGAGGGAAGAAGTCATAGTTGGGGATATAGAAACCACATTTGCAAAATGGTTTGAAAAAGGTTCTTTAAAATGCCCGTAGCTCATTATAAGGAGCTTCTGCTAATACTTTAAATTCATTGAAGCTGTTTGCCATAACATGTTCATTATATATGCATATAGGCACGTGTCATTATGTGGTTGTTCAGCCAATGTAGCACCTCACATTCTGCCAAAGAGACTAGAGACTTAATAATATTAATTACATAAAAACACTTTCACTACAAATTAATATATTAGTTTGTATACTAATTATTAAGATAAACAAAGTTGACTCAATCATAATAATATATAGTATAAAAATAATAAAATGAAAATCCTTCTTTAAAAAGTCTGACATCCCGTTTGAGAGTTGTATAACTTTTTATAACAGTATTCATGTGTTTGAGAGTTAATGGATTCAATGAGTTAACAAAACAAATGTTATAATTCCGGTAACTTTTTATTTGAGCATGAAATATTTGCCATGCATATATAATCAATACGTTCACAATACTTTTCAGGTTTTAATTATTAAGTTTAAAAATGCATGGGTTTTCATGCTCAGTTTTATATAATTAGTTGCACACAACATCTTTCTGTTGTACTTTCTAGATATGAACTGCAAAATGGTAATAGCCACTCCCTTTTGCAGAGGAGTGACTGGGCGTTGTCCCACAGCACTTACAACAGTAATTTCCATCCATCGTCAAACCGCTTATCCTGCACACAGGGTCGCGGGGGGGCTGGAGTCCATCCCAGCCAACTTCGGGCGATAGACAGGGTACATCCTGGATTGGTCGCCAGCCAATCGCAGGGCTACACAGAGACACACAACCATTCACACTCACATTCACACATCTACGGGCAATTTAAAGTCCCCAATTAACCTGATCCCGAGAGGATGTCTTTGGACTGTGGGAGGAAGCCGGAGAACCCGGAGAGAACCCACGCAGACACGGGGAGAACATGCAGACTCCACACAGAAATGCCACTGGGCGGAATCGAACCCAGGACCTTTTTGCTGTGAGGCAACAGTGCTAACCACCACGCCACCGTGCCGCCCAACAGTAATTTCCCTGACGTAAATTGTTGTTGCATTTTATAGCAACGCTATTTCTCATGAAATGTCACGAATGGGACTCTCCTCTGCATATAGGCGTCGGTGTTAAATTCCACCTCCGGTGTCGGTACGTAGCTTGCTCCTCGTTTAAAGGCGCTTTTCCTCTCTCGGGTACATCTTCTTCCCGCCGCTCACCTGAGCAGCGGCTCAACGCCCGCAGCCGCCGGCCAATCACCTTCCAGGCGCCGGCCAATCACCTTCCAGGCGCCGGCCAATCACCTGCCAGCCGCACGCCCCAACCTCTGACGCGGAAACTAGCCGGCGCGTGCGCTTCCTCCTCGTCGGGGGCGGGGTCTCCGTCACCCCGGCGACCCGTCGAGCTCCGTCACCTGTTGGCGGAGCCCTTACGAAGCCCCGGTGACGCCGGGGAAACACCGGGAAAACGTCAGACTCCCCGCCGGGCAAGAAGTACCGCACGCAGGCGCACTATGTTTTTTCTTTTTACCGCCTTCGCCGGTGCGCCGCCGGGGGAGTCCGCGCGCTCGTTGGGAAATAAGTTTAGGTCTTTGCTGTGACAAAAAGCGTAGGAAAAGAGACAACATGGTCAACCGCGTCTTCACCTTTGTCCGCGTTTCCTGCTCATAAAAAAGAGGCCAACTGCCATGTAAGTGCGTTGTGAATGGAAAAGAGTTTGCTCTTAAACTTTCTAACACATTGCTGCCTTGGGAGACTTGTCATGAGACAATTTGATGACTAACTGGGCAGTATGGGAATGTTCTATAGGTATAAGAACGTGCCACTGGGAGTGTTTACCAAGCGGCCCACGGGCAAACTAATCATTTTAAAAAGGTAATAGTGGGTCATGGATTAGTAGATATGCTCTTTGTTCTTGACCTTTTAAAAACCTCTCTGTTTACAAATGCTGAATTGATTTATCTCATCTGACTGAAAACAAACAAATCTGTATGTATGTATGTATATACATATATAATCAGTATTTTCTTTCACTGGTAACACCAGTAACTGCTGTATGTTTACGAATGTTTTGTTGTCCCTGAACACAACAACCTGGCCTGCTAAGTTCATAACTGTAATGAATAAGCATGAGGTTTGTCTTTTGATCAACGCTCTGAGACGTTCACAGCCACATGACAAACATCACGTAATAAAGACACCGAGGGCCGCGGGGAAACACGCACACAAACATCTTTTCTTAACGTGCTCGGTGTTTGGTTCCCGTCACCCTTTCACGATATGGCTTTTTTCTCCCTCAGAACTCGATTGTATAACTTTCTATCACGTGACCACGTTTGGAACCCCCCCCGCTGAGCGATCTCATCCGTATTACATCTGGTCACAGAACATTTTCTCTGGGCAGTCGATCTGCGCAGTGTGGCTGACCTTGTCACGGGGCTTTGCCGTGGAAGGGATCAGTAATGGTGTGTGCGGACACATCGGCAGCTCGGATGACTGCTGCCGGGCCTGCAGGCGGCTCGTCTTTAAATAGATAAGCACTTTAGTTGTATGCCAAAGAGGGGCCCGACCTCTGTGCAAGGTGGTTTCTCAAGTCCAACCGGGTCTCGCAGGGTGATTCAGCAAAACACTGCGGCTCTCTAATACTGCAGCCCTCTGGGTTAAAGGAAGACGCTTCAGACAGATTACTGTGTTTCATTCGTCCCCGTTTCCCCACTGAGAGTTGAGCTGAAATGGGTTTTTCTCCAAAGAAAAAAAAAATTCTGAAGCATCTTGGGGGGAAAAAAATAACTGGACAATTACTCCATAATTTTAAATCTTTGTTAGTTGCAGCCCTACTTTGGATTGAGTACTTCTTATCGGCTCGCTTCCAAATTCAAATAAAACTAATAATACCAAAATTTAAACTGGGGAATTGGCAGTTTTATTTTTCTGGCGGGCACTCAAGTAAATGAGTAAATACGTTTTTTTTAAACATATATATATTTGCAAACTCAGTCCTCCTTCGTAATAATAATGTGTTTTCTCTGTTCTCTCCCCAGAAGGTGCGCCATGTTCTCCGATGCCATAGAAGCAGCCGGGCGGGTGGAGGGCCTGCCCCTGTCCCCCCCGCAACTGCTGCAAGAGCTAGCGGAAGAGGAAGCAGAGGCATCTGCAGGGAGGGAGCCGAAGAGACGAGGCCGCTACCGCCAAAGCCTGCAGCTTTTAAAGCCCTTCAGAATAACACACAAGTAAACAGAACCGTATTAAAGAAAAAGTGACTGTCTGACAGGTTCCCATTTAAAGACACATAGAAGTTCACATTTGTGTTTTCTGCCTGACGCGCCGACTGTTGGGGAGTAGCAGGAGGCCGTGATAAGGGACGGTTAACTTCTCCCCCATCGACAGAGCGACCGATAAGCTGCCCCTGAATTCTTTTCTTTTTTCTCTCCCTCTCTCTTCGGTGCTCTCTCAGATTTCTGTGAAGAGCGTGTAAATTACTGTTCAAACATGGCAGGCGGGATTCGCCTTTCACTGACTCCGGCGTGCAAAGGCGCCTCTCTTTTCCCGGAGGCCCATGTGGCCCCGCTCCCCCAACATAGCACCCGAGTGTATGTCCCCCCGCTCTGAGACGTCCCACCCATCTCCACATCTTCTCCTCTGTTCTAGGCATCAGCACCCAGTCGATAACGCCGGCTTCTTCTCATTTATGACCCTGCACTGGCTCTCCCCGCTGGCATGCAAGGCCTACAAGGCGTCCAGCTTGGCCATAGATGACGTGTGGGGACTGTCTCGCCATGAAGCCTCTGAGATCAACTGCCAAAGGTGAGGGGACCGCCGAGGTTTGCCTGGTGAATGTGGCCGCGCTCTATTTGATGCTGAAACACGGGGAGACATGAAAGGGGTTTGTGTTGGTTTAATATTTAATATTTGTGAGTTGGGTTGCGTGCATGGCACCGCGGTAGAAACGCGCGCTAGCCGGCTCCGTCCCTCTGGTGGTCAGCATCTCGCTGATTGAGGTCAAAGCAGCTCCAAGAACAGACCTTTTCCGATTGACAGCCGCTTGGGGCCAGTCATTGGAAAGTGTGCGTCGTTACTGAATCTTTGCAGGTACACGTTTTTGGAGCTCTGGCCCCCCGGTGCACAGGCGAGTCCCATGATAAACTGATACCATAAGAAACACCCCTTATGAACACATTAGGAAACAAAGAACAATCCACTTGAGGTCTTGTGTTTTGTTTCCGCACCGAGTGGAGCTCGTTGTTTCGGGGCGTGTGCTGGTAAACTTATCTCTACATCGCTCCGACGGGGGGGATTGTTTTTCCTTTTTTGGACAAATATTTAGAAACCTTTCTCACGTTATCAAGTTCCAAATGTGTCTTTTCAATACAATTATGTAATTCCCTGCGGTGTACACAACAGTTAGGAATAATATCTCTTATTTCCCATCCACGCTTGAAATGATGAAGGCGCTTAAAAATGACAAGTCGGTACAAAATATAAACCCTACCACCTCTTTCCTTTCGAATTCAGGAAACTTATTTTCTACTTTGTGTTCCGCACGTGTGTTTTGTTTCCCGTGCAGTGGGGCTTAATTCATGACCATGCAGCCCTTCTCCACCGACGCAGGGACGCGGTGCTGAGAATAGCAGGGATTAGAGATTAGATTACAGTGAGAGTTAGTGCCTGACTTTGCCAGGTGACATCAGGAACACCCCTTTACCTGCGGTGAACTGCGTCTCCCCGTCACATTCATTAGCTGCCTGTTATTGACCGGAGCCCGGCTGAGACACAAGTCCCCGTTTGCCTGTCAAACACAAGCTCACGCACCGATTCTACCGACGAGCAACAAAGACTCACAATAATGGTCTCGCGATCCATTCGCTGCTGACTGCTCACCGAGTCATTGGGGGGCCGCGTGACTTTGCACAAAAAGGGGCCGTTGACTATTTGGGGAAGTTCTCCTCTTCTGTCCAGTGACAACCGCGTGGGTGGCAAATGACCCGTCTGGCTCACTGCCTGGAGGTTCGGTGCCGCTGCCGCTCGGTGTGCGCTTAAGACCACACAAAAAAAGGGAAGCTGCCGCGCTGGCACGGCCGACGATGGCGTGCGTGAGCGCTGCGGCGACGCGGGAGACGGGAGGCCTTTATTTGGTGTTGACATAGCAAGAACAGTTATGCAACTGGGGGAGGGAGGGTGGGAAAAGCGCCCTGGGAGAGTTGACACTTGTTGGTGCTCAGTGAGGTGCGAACCTTGAACGCAATGTGCCCGCCAACACACACTCTCGAAACATCAGCTCCCGCCTGCCATCCTGGCAAACGGAGGTCTGTGAGGACCATCTCAGCCATGTTCCGAAGCAAAGCCCGCCTCCTTTTGGATCCCACCTCGTTGCCCCGGCACTCTCATTTCCATTTGTGTGTGTGTGTGTGTGTCACCACGCACTCACTTAAGTATATGCTTTTCGTATTGTGACATTTCTAAAACTGTAATTGTCGTTAATTACGATGGAAACTGTAAATACACTTAACTTTGGACGTGCGGTGTCTTAACATTGACCATCATGTGGGTAGATGTTCACAGCGAAATGTGTCCTATTATGCTGCTCTTTCAGAGCACCGCTCGCTTGCTGTTTTGTCCATTGATGGGATTTAGCAACACAAAATGTGTTACTCACTTAAAGGTCTCATTACCGGCAACTCAAGCTGTGCTATGTGCAGCTATTGGGCTTGAGCTAATTATAATCTCTTAGATTTAGCGCCATTAGCCTTAAAGGAGTAATTATTGGGCTACTGAGAGTCTAGTTGCTTTAATCTTCTGTCGATACGTTTTGAATAAAGTAATTTAGTAAATTAGTGTCTACTGCTGCTGTATCATAAGCTATCATGCAAGATATTTTAGAATCTTCAATGGGCATTATATATCAATAATAGTAAACATTAGCTCATCTTTGGTCAAACTACTTGGTGCCTTGTTGTAGGTCACCTTTAAGTTATTATCAGCCTTCATTCTTTTGCGCTCTCCAACTGCCATAATTGCCTGCCAGACAGGATTTTTTTCCATTGTGCTTTGGCAGTCTAATAAACTGGAAGGGCAACTTTGTTTAAGAAGAAATAAAAGTGTATGAAGTATTCTTAAAGTACGCACTTTTTTACACAATTAATTGCCATGATGAAATCACTAAATAAATGTCGGACTAAATGTCGGGACTCATTATTAACTAAATGAAGGTCAAGCTGCAAGTTTTAAGTTTTTTTTTATGCCGCTGGTTTCTGGTTGCAGGCTCCAAGCTTTGTGGCGCGATGAGCTGAAGAGACGAGGGCGGGAGGGGTCCTCCCTGACGAGGGTCTTCTGGAGGTTCTGCCAAACCCGCATGCTGGTGGCCGTCTTCTCCCTCCTCCTCACGATGGTGGGGTCCTTTGTTGGGCCGGTGAGTGGCGTCCAAATCCTCCTCTTGCCTTTTTATATTCTGCTGATACGCCTTTCAACACAGTCGCCGGCTTGGAGTCCCAAGTTTCAGAAAATCACTTCATCCTGTTTCATGCTGGCGGGGAAATTGAAAGGAAAACATTCTGAGAGATTACAAAGCCTTAAGATTGTGAAACCCCTAATAATGCCATGGATTAGCTGGTTTGTAACCAGTCGCGCCTTTGGTGTCCCACTCTCCGAAGAAAAATGGCCATCCGTGACCCCGCGTACAAACACCCGGAGCAGATGCAAATGCCGGAGCCTTCCGACTGATCCCCGTAAAAAGGCCTTTATGTTTGGAATTCCCAGGTTTTGCTAATAATGAGTCGATCCCATTGTTTCCTCGTGCTCTAAGCTGTTTATTTTGATGTCACATGATGTGTACACAAGTGCTCGCTACTACCCGCAACTAATAGCTTTAACTGGATTTAGGTCTTAAACAATGACGCATGTGTCTCACATTCCAGAGAGATTTATTTTGTGCACTTATTTAGACAATGCTGTGTTCGAAATATCCTCTCTGCAGTTAATTAATTTGCAATCTTGTTTTAGGTATTTGACTCATCCCACGTGGTTGTGGCTCATTCAGTCGTCCCTTCCAATTGACATGCGTATTTCCCTCATTTAATCTCTTGTCTTCTTGTGTAATGTGACTTCTCCTCCCCTGTTTATCTCTACATGCCATTTTCTCCATTTAACCTCTCCTTTTTTAACTCCTTTTTCTCCTGTCCCACAACGTTACTGTTTCTCCGCTGTGTACTTAACCTCCTCCCTCCGCTCCTTGCCTCCCCGTCCGTCCCCAAGGCTCTCCTGGTCCGAGCTCTGCTGGAGTATTCCCAGGACTCGGTGAGCCGCGTGCCTTACGGCCTCTCCCTGGTCGCCGGGATCTTCCTCATGGAATTGGTTCGCTCCTGGTCTCTTGGGCTCATGTGGGCCGTCAACTACCGCACCGCAGCTCGCCTCCGCGGGGCGACCCTGACTTTTGCGTTCCACAAGATCCTCCGCCTACGCACTACCAAAGACATTGGTCCTGGCGAGGTAGGTGATATAACCCTGGAGGGGGCTCCTCTCCAAATGAACTAAATCACCCGGCCCCGCGGGACACTACGCGCAGATGATTGAGATGGACTTGTGCATTTGTGCTCTTACACCGTTTCTGCTTGATGTTGACACACCCCATAGCCTGAGAGGGGAGGGTGGGGATGGGGGGGGGGGCTGTTTAAGATGAGTCATTATACAGCTTGAGAGGAATACTTGTCCAACAAGTAAACATTGGAATGATGGCTGTGTTTTCTTTGAGGTTTCACTGTGCATTGTTTGGAAATATTGGTCACATTGCTGTCTCTCTACCCAGCTCATCAACATCTGCTCCAGTGACGGCCAGCGGCTGTATGAAGCGGTGTCAATGAGCTGCCTGCTGGCCGGGGGACCCTTGGTGGGAATACTGGGTCTTTCCTACACCGCCTACTTCCTGGGCCCCGCCGCTCTGCTGGGGTCGGCGGTTTTCGTCCTCTTCTACCCTACAATGGTACGACTTCAGCCTAAACACCTGCAACCGTGGGACAGAGAGCCTTTTGAGCCTGTTGGGCAACGCTGTTGCAGAGGATAAAATACAGGATTGCTAAATTGAGGGTACAGAAATTAGGATAAATTAATAACGACTCAGAAAACTGTCACTGTATTTAAATTGCTGTCAACGAGAGAATATAGTTAATTACGGATTATTCTAAAATGTTGAAAGGTAATTAACCCAGTCATTGTAGCAAGGGTACGCAATTTAATTACAAAAATTACCAAAAGTTTTAGGGAAATTGCTGATTATATATATTACAAATGTGAGAAGCTATTTCATTATAGACATTTCTAAAAATGAATGGCAAACAGACTATAAACACTATAAACTTTATTGCTGACCTGTTATTTTCATAAAAACTAATTCAGTTGGTAGAAGACGTAAGTAAAAAACGTTTTTTTGAGGTTGTTGAAGAGTACCAACCGGCACTTTTTAAAAGCATCATAACTCTTTGGCTATCAGTCTCCTTCAACCTCGAGCTGCTGTTATCAATCAAATGACAGTTGAAGCCTGACAGCCAGAGACCCGGCCGTTGATGCGAAAGGCATTTATTGCTCTGGTCCTCGGACAGGCATGCAGCACAGCTAATGTGATTGTGTCTACTTTCATTTCCTCTCCTACCACTTATTTCTCGTGTCATCATTTCCTCTGTTCCCGTTTCGACAGATGCTCGCATCGAGACTGACGGCGTATTTCCGCAAAAAGTGTGTGACGGTGACTGACCGGCGCGTGAGGCTGATGAACGAGATCTTGGGCTGCATAAAGTTCATCAAGATGTATTGTTGGGAAGATGCCTTTGCAAAGAATATTCACAGTGAGGGGCTGTCATTTTCCCAAATGACTCAGCAATTCTCATGTCATGTCTGTGGTCTAGATATGCAAACGACATGCTATTTTGAGCTTTCACAAATCACACAGAAAAAAAAAACACGAGTCCCCTCATTTGAACACCTGTCAGCACGGCAAATTTGTAACTAATTGGTCACTTTGTCCCCTGAAATTAGACTTCTCCTCTTAGTGAACTGGAAAGATAACACTGATCCTAAAATCCATTTCCATTAGCTTGTGCCATTTAAGTATTTCCCAATGCCAACCTCCATAATCAGGGCCAGTTTGACTCCCCTGGCTTTAAGGTTAATTTGCGTGTCTGTGTTTGGGGCCCTATCATACCTTAAATGACTGTCGAGGCGCCTCTACTTAGTCATGAATTAGCGATGGTCTTTTCTCATGAGGTCTTTGCTGTAGGATGTGGATAAGGATCATTTTCAACTTTTAATCATGCTACAAATTAGCCAGGTGATTACTTTGATTAGCTATTATAATGATAATTAATTGCCATCTTAACTTAAAGGCCATTAAGTCCTAAGAGTTAAAGTGTCATTCCCTCCAATTAGTATTGTTATAAAATGGATGATCACACTGTTTTTGCCTGTGCTGTGTTGTTATTTTCTTTTTTTTCATCTGTCTTTGTTATCCGTGCAGAAAAAACACGTACAAATCAAATCCCGCGGAGAATAAGGAGTTGCTTCACATACTTTGCACACAGTACTGCTCGGTCCGAATTAGAGATGCACAAGCTTTTTGCTTCCGATGTTTGAACGAAGCACCAAGCAGTCTGCGTTTGTGAGATATAAACATGGAGGAAGGGGGGCAGGATGTTGCCATTAGACTTGTACAGCTATCAAGGTTCAGCAGGTTTTGAAGCCCTTTCACACCATGTTTAGATGTGGGGCCTTCATCCTCACAATGTATCTATTTCTGTCCACTCGCAGAGCAGCGGTTAGTGACTCTTATGTCATTGTTGATTGAATGTGCACTGGAGGTCCTTTGGAAGTCACTCAACCATTTTTCTTTCACACTCTGTTTGGCTGCTGCTTTTTTATCATCTCTCTCTCTCTCTCCCCCTATTATCTCCTCAACAGAGGTGCGATCCGAAGAGAGGGGAATACTGGAGAGTGCCGGGATCGTCCAGAGCCTCACAGTGGGCATGGCTCCCATCGTCGTGGTGATAGCCAGTGTGTGCACTTTCACCTTGCACATGGCTTTGGGCCAGGAACTTAATGCAGCTCAGGTATTTAGCTATGGGATCTATGTACACAATGTATTTGATTAGTTCATGTCTGTATCTGATATCTTTATATAGAATAAACAACAAATGTTTACTTCAGTAACTAACATAAGGCAAATAACATAACCCTCCATCTCTGCACATCACAACCCAGGCTTTCACTGTGGTTGCCGTTTTCAACTCCATGACCTTTTCCCTGAAAGTCACCCCGTTGGCGGTGAGGGCACTGTCGGAGGGTGCCGTCGCAGTTAAAAGATTTCAGGTGAGAAATACAAGTCTGTCAACCACCTTTATTTACAGAGCCACTTAAATTGCTTCAATCCAACACAGGACTGGGTGCAGTGTGTTATTTAACACCAGTTTTTTTGTTTTGAATGTTGATACACTATCTCAGAACCAATCTGAGCTCCTGTTGATCCTAAAATACACCCAGCCACATACTGGTATTCTCTGACACACTGTATACCAAACGCATGGTAGAAGTCGCATGTTAGTGAGGGATTGTTTAGAGAGCTGGGTTAAGCAAGCAAACGTTTCTCCCTACAGGTTTGAGGTATTCTGTGTTTTTACTCTAATGCAGTCGTCTATAATACAGTAATGAGATACTCAAGGGCAGGACAGACCTGAAACATGAAAACTGTATTTGTAAAATACAAAAAAAACGCTCAGTCCATATGTCTTACATGGCACAACCTCAAGTACACAAAGTTGAAACAATCCTTTGCTTCAACATAAGCAAAGACAGAAGCCTTGAGTTTGTTTTTACTTCAGTCAGGAAAATATATCAGTCAATTGTCCTTTTATCAGCACATCTTTTATAAATTTTGTCACCACAGTTGGAGGCCAAAGTTATACTTTGCATAAAGTAGCCTAGTGTGTCTGTTTCCACAGAGGCTCTTTATGATGGATGACAGAGAGGTAGTTCTGGTCAAAATGGAGGACCCCAGCAATGCAGTGGAATTTCGGGGCGCCACACTGGCTTGGGAAAAGGCGCGTTCTCCGGCTGCGAAACCTAAGCCACCGCCGACCAAGCGAGACACAATAGGGATGACGCGCGTGCTGCGCAGGGAGAAGCTCAGCCTTAACATTTCCACAGAGGACGACAAAGGAAACCAGGAAGGTCCCAACGCGCAAAGTCTTCTCATAAATATGGAGCAGGAGAGCCCCCAGAGCACCATCTCCTCCACCCAAACCATACGACCTCCACTGCACAAGACCCTGCACCACATTGACCAGCGCATTAAGAGGGTAACAACACAAACAATAAACAATACGTGGGTTATCGACACTTTTAATTAAACAGTTGGACAAACCTTTGCCTGCCACTTTGTATCCATCGTTAGGGTTCGCTGGTTGGAATCTGTGGAGGCGTCGGCAGCGGGAAGAGCTCCCTACTGTCTGCTTTGCTGGGACAGGTGAGATCGTTCAGTTCAGTTCAGTTTCCCACCGAGCAGCACACAAGTAAAAGTGTTTTTGAACCTCTTATTTAGACCTAATGCCGAGCAACAACCTTCAAAAGGAATGTTTCAATGGTTTTTATCTGCTTCCAACCTGCTGTGTTTTCCGTTGCAGATGACCCTGTTAGAGGGTAATGTAGCTGTCAGCGGGGGCTTCGCTTATGTGGCACAACAGGCCTGGATCCTCAATGAATCACTGAAGGAGAATATTCTGTTTGGAAATGAGTACGACCAAGACAAGTAGGATCCTCTGCCGTATGACGTTTCATGAAAAGCAAATGTAATAAAGGTTGAGATTTATCCTTCATTTATCTTCTCATTGTTTCCTTTTCAGATACCATGCTGTCCTAGAAGCCTGCTGCCTTCTCCCAGATCTTGGAGAGCTCCCATATGGAGATATGACAGAGGTATTTGTGCAAATCTGCTTCTGAGTAATCTCTTTCTCTTAATTAAAATGCGTCTTCTCTCCTGCGTGCAGCAGTTTGTGTTTATGTAACCACAACAAGAGCGTTTTTTTTACGGCACGTTGTTTTTCTGTTTACTTTTTCTTTGTAGATTGGAGAGCGAGGTGCCAACCTGAGCGGAGGGCAGCGTCAGAGAGTGAGCCTGGCGCGTGCCCTCTATAGCGAGCGGCCCATACTCCTCCTGGACGACCCTCTCAGTGCCGTCGACGCTTTTGTCGGCTCCCACGTCTTCCACAAAGCTATCAGGGGTGCCGCCAAAGACCAGACGGTGCTTTTTGTGACCCACCAGCTGCAAGTAAGGAACTGTCTGAATTTTTATTGATACCAATTTGTATTGTATTTTGTATTTTTTCTGAAGCATAAAAAAATACTTTTTTTTTAACACTGAGAAAATATTACACGACTTTTTCACGTTTATCTAATTAAAGTTTTGCCTCCTCTTTTTTATTCTAGTACCTGCCTGACTGTGACCAAGTCATTTTGATGAAGGACGGACAGATTGCCGAGCATGGCACCCACGCTCAGCTAATGGGTAAAGAGCGCGACTATGCCAGCCTATTCAACAGCATGCAGCAGGAGGTAAGGCCAAGGCCAAGGCCAAACAAGGCACCAGGCCAGCTCTTTTGAGTAAGCCCTTTTTGGCCCCCACTGCACAAAAACATTGATCTTTACAGGCTAAATAATTAATCAGCCCAGAAAGCCTGGTCCGATAGCGGGAAATGTTAATGCAGACATGGCCTTTCAAAATGTATGCGCACATTGATTTTCTGGTGAGCTGCTAAAGACTCTCGCTGATCTCTTTGTTGAAATGACTTGTGTTGTTGTCACATCTACCGTGATCTGTGGCACGTTTCAAAGCTCTCCTTCTTTGCGTGCCGGTTTCGTCCCTTAGAATCTGGTGAAAGAGAATTTAAAAAACAAACGGCCGAGCGCAGCTGCAGAAAAGGTAGACGATGCCGTCGATGTCACCACGGTCAGACCAAATGTGGAGAGCACCAACGGAGGTGAGAGACCCCGCCACTTCTACTGCTAAATTTGTGGTTCCCTCGAGAAGTTTTGATGCCTAACATCTTACCGTTCAGAACGACTGATGAAAGCGGAGGAGAAGGGCTCTGGTGCCGTCGCCTGGTCCGTGTATGGAGCCTACATCAAAGCGGCGGGAGGGGCGGCTGTCTTCATCGTCAACATCATCCTCTTCCTCGCCACCACAGGCAGCATAGCCTTCAGTAACTGGTGGCTGAGCCACTGGATCAGACAGGGCAGCGGGGTGAGTTTGGGGACAATCCTGCTTTACTACAATAGACGCCTCCAGTGTGTATTTGGCTCCCAAAAGGAAAATAACTACTATCCCTCAGTGAGTCGTGGCAGCCGACTGAGCATTAATCTGAATGTGCATGGTTAAAAAAAAGTAGCGGAACCACGGTAAAGTTAATTAAAAACAAGCGCTAGGAGTGATGTGCAGCAAAGCAGGCGGTAGCTGCTTTTGAGAAATGTGCTCAGAATAGTAAACATAATTGAACTGGTTGATTTTCATTTTTTATGTTGTATTCCAAAGTGTCTGCTTTTCTCAGTTTCATTAGAGCCAAAATTCCTTCATGGGGAGAAATTGGATTTTTTTTTTTTCTTCTTACTCTTGGTGATTTGTTGCTCCATCTGCCCTCAGAACACATCATTAATCTCAGTGAATGAAACGATGGCAAGCAACAGCATGGGACTGAACCCTCACATTCAGTACTATTCGACTGTTTACGTCGTATCCATGGCAGCTGCTTTACTGCTGAAGACGTTCAGAGGACTGGTATTTGTGAAGGTAAGCCTCCTCGGTGACGTCCCTCCTTCACGCGCATGCTTTATCCACTTAATCCCTGATGAACTTTAAAATAATAGTGCTGTTTAAAAAGGATATAATACATTGATTTATTAGTGATGTACAGTTACGCAGTGCTCCCTAATTGTATTTATTGTCGTTTGTTCATGCTGCCGTGGTTTCAGTCCTATAATTGAAAGTGCCTGTAGGCCAAATCCATTTATCTGTCCACTGCCATGTCTCAGGGCTTTACAGCTACTATGTGTGTGTGTGTGTGTGTGTGTGTGTGTGTGTGTGTGTGTGTGTGTGTGTGTGTGTGTGTGTCAGTGAGTGCAAGAGATACAAAGAAGCAGAGAGAAAGGGTGTGTGTGTTTGTGCATGCGCATGTCAGTTCCCCTTTGGGTGCAGCCTCTTTTTCGTGCTAACCTATCCTGACACTGCATTGCAGAGGTTAGGCCCACATGTTAATGTGTGCCACTTGAAATTGCTAATTTTTCAAAGATGTCCAATCTTTTTTTTTTTTTTACCCCTAGCTGCGATGAGATCTTTGGGAGTGTTGAATATTACATTAATATAATTAATTTGTTCTCTGCTGCCACATGTTATTTCTGTCCTATTGGTGAAATGTCTCTCACTCATTGGGTCATGACCTCAGTGTCAGCCTCCCGGACACTCATTAGAAATTAAGTTTTGACATCTTGTCTTGTGCGGGGGGGGCAAAGAATGACCCACCGCTGTGCACATGCTTAGCATAACTCCGCAGCCAACAATTGAGTGCCACTATATTTATTGATTGTGTGTTATTGTGTTTAAGGCCCAGCACAATGACAGTTTTTCCTTCCGACAGTCTGCTTATCCAAGCCTCGATTCTCTCCGTATGTTTCCTTAAGTGCTTTGTTTCCATGTGTCAGGTCTCATGTACCAGCGCGGCTCTTGTTTGTGTTTTCAGTGCACGGTGAGGGCTGCCTCTGTGCTCCACGACAAGCTGTTTGCCCGGCTCCTGCTCAGCCCCATGCACTTTTTTGATACAACGCCTCTGGGTCGTATTCTGACCCGCTTCTCCAGAGACATGGATGAGGGTGAGAGTGGATTTGTCTTGCCTGTCAACCCTCCCCGTGAGAGAGCTCTCGGTCAGGGAAGTCACCCTGGTTGAAAACATGTACCGCCAAGACCCAGTGGTCCTGCATGGACTCTTTTTGCTTCAAATAAGCAGTCGAGGCAAAAAGATTGAATGTTTATTTTACACACGTCGTCAATGTGGTCTTTCCAAGGCGCTCTTTCATCTTCTAATACATACAACACTACATTTTACAGTAGTGACTTACTATTATTAACAAACAATGTAGCATCTTATTTGGAATAAAGTTAATCCTTTAACTTATCTTTTGAAGATAAGTTAACTAATCGATTGAAGATGTCCTATTACCTCTAAAGAAAGTTTTTTCATCTGGAACCACTTTTTCACTGTGTGACCAAATATCATTGGCTTGTCCGATGAGGAAGCCAACGGTTGGCTTCTAACATCACATAGTTGGTAGTTATCTAATCAAATTGTAAATGATAATTTTATGATTAACTGTGAAAAGCCTTCAATCATTCTAACAATATACCAATGGCAAACATATTGGAGATTGTGTCTAAAACTCGTAAGAGAGCCCAGTTCTTTGATAAGAAACACAATGAGAATTTGCATATCACGACGTATAGACACGGATCCAGCACCGGACGGCGGGTCTGATATGTGATCTCTCTTCTCTCCAAAGTTGATGTGCGTCTCACCATGCAAGCTGAGATGCTGCTGCAGAACCTCACCCTGGTGCTGTTCTGCTTGGGAATGGTGGGCATTGTCTTCCCCTGGTTCCTGCTCTCCATCTTGCCACTCGGAGCCTTCCTCTTCGTGGTCAACCGTGTCTCCAGGTCAGACTCCTATTACTCCTTTTGTTATCATTGCTATTTGTATTGAGCCTGAGATAGCAAACCGGCTGTTTGCACGTTACACTTCAACTTCCTGCAAGCAACATGAGGAGTGTTATCAGCAACAAGCGCCCAAGTTAGCTGAATAGCTATTTGGATGTGATTAGTTATTGATTACATTGTGGCAACAACTGCATACATGGCAGCCCAACAGGCCAAATGTATGTTCTAATATGTATATTTCATTGGAGGACACTAAGGGTAAACAACTGTTAAAGAGTTGCACTGAGTGTTATCGTCATTGATTCAACTTTGCACAGCTTCTGCTTTGTGGAAAAACGTTGCAAGAGAGATTATCTGATGAGTCTGCTTTAGTCACAATTTGTAAGGTGTATGCAGGAAGGGGAACAACAGCTTGCTGGTTTCTTGGGAAATGACCACAGTATGTTGTTATTTCTCGTATTTCAGAGAAGGACTCTCAGTGTAATTGTTGTGTTGGTGTAAATTCAGAAGTATCAAAACGAAACTGCTTAACTTGTTGCTATTATACATACAATCAGTACATTCTTTTTTTTTACTTTCACATTAAGTCATGAATAAAGACACAGGGTGATTTTGATTTGAAAACCTGTGTCTTATAAACCTGTTTTCAATAACCTTCCCTGTAAGGAACCACATGATATCTTATCTTAGTATCATATCTGTTTCCTCTACAACCAGAATTCTTCATTCAGATCTATTGGTGGATCAAACATCTTGATTTATCTTTTAATGTTAGGGCACTTGATTTGTAGCCTCTTAATCACAAGAGAACCAAGAGATGATCCCCAGCTGTTACCCAGATGTAGTCATCACCCTTGGCAGCGCTTTTAAATGAATGAAATTTTTAACAGGTAACGACATCCCAGAACATGTACAGATGTTACATCAAACTGGATCTCCCATTGAAATTACCCACTTCTAAAGCAGCCTTTATTGAATTCTGGAATAAAACTGCCAAGGGCATAAACATGTTTGTCTGGATCGCACCTTGAAGCGAGGAGGTGTAATGTGGTTTCCCGCTCTCTTCTGGGCTTTTATGAGAAAACCAAATGATTCACGTGAGACTAGTAATTCACATGCACCATCCATTCTATCCTGGTTTCTAAAGGTAGAAAGGACGCCTTTGTCAATAAACCCTTTCTCACTCACACTACCCCGTCGACGGTGCGTCTGATGTCTCTCTGTCTGGCTGGCTGATGGTACGCCCGTCTGCACTAATAACATTGCACGCGCGTCCGATAGTGGGAAACGACCCAAGCTCCGTCAGGAAAACGGGTCCTGTGTCACCCGTCTGGGAAACTGCATCATTAGAACTCCTGCATTTGGCTTTTCTTCATTCAGTCGCGATAGTTCTGCAATCGGGTGTAACGTTTGCGTTCAGTTCAGTCTTACGACATAAATAAGTGGCAGCAATACCAGTTTCATCAAATACTCTTGAATATTCTTAAACCAAGATAACGTCACAAAGGTTTTTACTTCACATTTCAATGAAGATTTTACTGTAATGACTGTTTATAGTGAAGTTTTCATCATGAGGTTTTCCACTTTCGTGTAATTTATTTGAAGGATTTGGTCCTCATATGCTGGAGCCCATTTACACTCAATGCCCCTCTGTTTTCATTTAAATAAGGCAAACCTGAATGGAGGCTTTCCAATTGTGAAGTGCTGCAAACTTGCCTCATTAAGATTTAGGGTTATAAATAAAGATGACCAATATTCAGTTGTGATGCGTTTCTATTGTTAGTCTATATCTGCCAGTTTGCTGTAATATCAAGTTACAGACGGGACATGAAACGCTACATGTACAAAATATGTGAATATTTTCCAAAAATCTGCATAGAATCATTTCTAATGGCATATTTACAAAATATTGATGTCATTAAATCCATTCCTTCAGAAGGTTGAATGTATAAGCTATTCTTCTATTTCCAGGGTTCTGATTCGTGAGCTGAAGCGCCTGGAGAACATCAGTCAATCGCCATTCACCTCTCACATCACCAGCAGCCTTCAGGGATTGTCCACAATCCACGCCTACGGAAGAGGGCCCGACTTCCTCCAGAGGTGAGTACAATGGGGCCCTTCAAAGATGGAGATCATTTACCTTTAATACAATCGTATCTCTTGTTGAATGTTTTCAGTTTACTCTCCAGTTAGTAAATATACCAAATCTCATACCAGGATGAGAGGATGGAGATCTCCTGGATTTTGCTGTGGTTGAAATGGTTTAATCTCTCTTTTTCCAGATATCAGGACTTACTGGACACCAACCAGGCCTCCAACTACCTCTTCAGCTGCGCAATGCGTTGGATGGCTCTCCGCCTAGACCTCATCAGCATCTTTCTTATCACTGGCGTAGCACTTTTTATTGTCTTCATGCACAATCAGATAGCTCCAGCCTACGCAGGCCTCGCCATATCATACGCAGTGCAGGTTTGTGAACCTTTAGTTTAGAGACACTTGTAGCTCTAGTCATCTCAAAAGAAGGTGGTTCTGTTCTCCAGATGATAAACATGTGTAAAAGTTGACAGTTGTTTCGCATTCAGATGTTGCTTTAAATGACAATGTTCAGCCCTCCATTTTGGGGGTCGTCGTGCTGTATTCATGTGTAATTCTACGGTCTTTTGAGGAATGTTTTTTTTCTCATTGCTAAACTGTCAAATATTTCGTTGTCTTATCCTTTTAAATGCGCAGTGATTTCATGCATGTTGTAATTACATAGAATGATGAAGAAGCACAAATCTGTTGATTTAGCTGTAAATTTGTTGATTATTTTACTGCCCAATCGTTCAAGCGGAGCAGCGCGTGTAAGCGTGTTTCATATAATTGCCTCGACAGTGTCAACTATTAACCTTCCACCTCTGCCTGCTCCTCTCTCACCTCCAGCTGACCGGCTTGTTTCAGTTTACCGTGCGGCTGCTCACTGAGACTGAAGCTCGCTTTACATCAGTGGAGAGGATTAATCATTATATTAAGGTAAGAGCATTGATTTGCACAGTGAGGAAGGTGTTTTAGGTGACACACTTAGACCCATTGTACACGGTGACTCAGACGGCTACGCTGTAGAGAATTGTACCATCAAACGCACACCAGTACAGGATAACAAAGCAGTTGAAGTCGGCATGTCCAGACGTGTGTGTGTGTGTGTGTGTGTGTGTGTGTGTGTGTGTGTGTGTGTGTGTGTGTGTGTGTGTGTGTGTGTGTGTGTGTGTGTGTGTGTGTGTGAGAGTGTTTGTGTGTGAGAGATGAACACAGCAGGAAGCAGATAGAAACCCAATGTGAGGTCTTAACACACTCAAAAGAACATGGCAGGGCTTGTTTCACACCGCAGCCATCAAACTGCGAAAAGATACAAATATCAATGCAACTTCTTATTTTCCATCTCAAGTCCAGAGAAAAATCTCAGAAAAAAAGCTCAGAGAGAAAAGCGCGCCGCATCAGTTTGGGAGCTTGCACCTTTACAGAGAGTCAGAGATTAATAACCGATAACATATCCGCTCCTGATCTCAGTGTCTAGAGAGTGAAGCACCCCGACAAAGTCCCGAGGCAGATGCTCCTGATCCCTCCTGGCCGCAGCAGGGAAGCATCACCTTCCAGGATGTGGAGATGCGTTATCGTGATAATCTGCCACTTGTGCTCAAGAACCTGTCCTTCACCATCCGACCCGAAGAGACCATCGGCATCGTGGGCCGAACAGGATCAGGTGAGTCCCCCTCTTCCCCAGCCTGCAGTGCCTTCGGCCTGTTTCCACGTATCTTTTTTCAAGGTGCACACACACGCTCGCTTCCTCACACAGTATGTCTTCGGTACTGGTTTGCAGGAAAGTCCTCTCTGGGTGTAGCTCTGTTCAGGCTTGTGGAGCTGACCGGAGGCTCGATTGTTATCGACGGAATTGATATCGCACGGATCGGTCTCGATGACTTGCGGAGCAGGCTAGCCATCATTCCTCAAGAGCCCGTGCTCTTCATCGGGACAATCAGGTAATGCAAAGGATAATTACTTCTATTAACAGGATGTGTAACTTATATATTTTTCTGGGGTTTACAAGAAATAAGCCCTCAACATTTGATGTGCTCTTAAAGAACTGCTCTAGTAGAAAATCCCTCAGAGTTGAGTCGCACAACTGTGTGGTCAAAATAAGTGCTTACATTATGTGTAGCACTACTTTGCCATATAGTTGGATGCCCCCTCCTGCAGAAAGTGGTGTGCCTTCAGTCAGCCTCCCCGATTGTAGCTCCAATAAATGTTCTTACATCCAAACTGAGGAGAATATTTTGCCCATCTGAGTGTGTGATCCTGTTAACGTACCATGGCCATATCCCACCATTTGCCTTGAAACGGTTTGAGTTATACTCAATGTCATGTGCTGTGTGGGGCTCAGCAGTCTTGTGAGTATATTATTGTATAGACTCACTTAGTGTAAATGCAAAGCAACACCAGAGGGACCTTTGAACAGAAAACAAAATGGTGCTGGGAGGTAAGAAATGAAAGACGGGAAAATGCATTTAACAGGTTTCAAAAACATTACATCGGTATTTCTTTTATAAAAACTGACAGTAAATATCTTTATTAATGTCGACCACTTCAGCCTCAGTTGGAAATTGACCTTGGTCAGCAGAGGGTAGGGAGTGCAGGATCAACAGTGTACTGCACCTCTTGTCTTTATTTTAACATTTTTATATACTACCACCATTATGTATTTTTCCAAAAGGACAAATTTGGACCCATGGGACCAATACTCCGATTCCCAGATATGGGAAGCTCTTGAGAAGACGCAGATTAAAGAGATGGTAAGTGATGAGCTGATTCACCGCTGTCCGATTTGACCAAATAGCTTAGTAGTTGAATAGAAAAAATGCCCTTAAAATCCTTCCTCACACCTCGGTACGTCACTCTGACCGTCCTCAGATCAGCCAGCTGCCTCACTCGCTCCACTCAGAGGTGACGGAGAACGGAGAGAACTTCTCGGTGGGAGAACGGCAGCTACTCTGTGTGGCCCAGAGCTCTGCTGCGGAACAGCAAGGTGCTGATTGTGTGATGCGTCTCGTTCACATGTACATGCGGAACATTATTTTACCTGGATGATGATAGCAGCTCAACAAGGAGTTTGCCTCGGATTCATGATGAGAAAAACCCCAGATCATAAAAGATCACAGAACATGTGCGTCTCTCTGCATGGAATAATACTGCCCCCTAGTGCTAGGCATCAGAGCTGCAGCTAATGAACATCAGCAGCATATAGTATATAATGTTTTTTTATATTTGAGTATAAATAATGACACCCTTTGATATTGCATGTTTTGCATGATACCCTTTGATATCACATGTATTACAGCAAACACAGGCTTTCCTCTTCCTAACTGTTCTTCTTGTTTTGTTTACCAGATTCTTTTATTGGACGAGGCGACGGCGGCCATTGACAACGAGACGGATCGTCTCATCCAGGAGACCGTCCGCTGTGCGTTTGACAGCTGCACCACGCTCATCATTGCCCATCGGCTCAACACGGTGATGAGCTGCAGCAGGGTCATGGTCCTGGACCGCGGACAGGTGTGTCCAAAGGAAACCCGGTTGATTGCACGATCGCACCAACCCGCTTGGTTGAATCTCATTCCCAAGTTGAAACTGCCCTGATTTGCTGTGTGAATTGCTCTCTTTGAGGCGGTAGATGGGTTCAGGGAGTGCACGTTGTACTTCCGCGGCGTTGTGTTAGACACTAGATGCAAGCCGTGAACATGGAGTGCACACAAATGATCACCTGCTTCAGTGTTGCCCCTTAAACCTCTTACTATATGTTTTGTAACAGCATTTGGCGTGCATAGACAAGACGCATGGTGTAAAAACCAAATCTAATTTGTGGCCACGGAAACCATGATCTCTGGCCTCCATTGGTGGGTCAGGGGGGGCAACTAGATTGTCTAATACTGGTTAGAGATTGCATTAAGCAGTAAATAGTCAGATTTGATGGTTGCCTGGTTAAATTGCTTTAGTGTTAACCATGGAGCCGCTGAGGTGAATATATTCTGAATATTCAAATTCTTTAAACATGCCGCCGGTGGGAAATAACTCGGGTTGTAATATTCTAAGAGAAAATAATACCTCCGATTATAGATGTTACATGCTCATACTGATGCTCTTTTATCCTTTTCATTCTCATAGATTTTGGAGTTTGACAGTCCCGCTGCCTTGCTGGCAGATGAAAACTCGCGATTCAGAGCCATGATAGAAACATCGGAAAACCAAAGCAGATGAAAAACACCGGAGGTGAACTGATGCAAGCGGAGAGGCTGCAAAATATTCGGTGGAATAACCGAAATGCACAAAAATCCCATACTACTCAGTCCTGCTGGGGTGTGAGAGAGACGTGCAAAAATACATTCGCCCCTGTTGAGGGCTTCAAAGTGTCATGTCTGTTGTTTTAAGACCAAAGACACAAGGAACACATTTTTGTGTTTTCACAATAACTAAAACATTCTACTAGTTTTTTACTAAATAATCAACTGCAAGGGAAACAAAGCAACAACTCTGATCAGACCACTTTAAGGTATATTTGAACACATGGAAAGACATGTGGTGCCTCCTTTTCCTCTGGAGATCAGCTGATCAGTTAGACTCCAGATTTGTGTTTGTTTTTTTCAATTGTTAAGACTTCACGGTGCAGGAATCCACTTGATTGACTAATCAATACAGAATATCTGTAAAAATTCACCATTAACCATTTTTATAAGAAAATGTTTCACCGCTTTAAAAAATGTTCTATGCATCGAGTTCAAGGTTACAATGCAGTCCTTTTAGTGAATTATTGCAGAAGCCAATGTGCCAAGAGTTGAAAACTTTCAGGTCCTATAATGGAGTTAGCCATGTAAGCGGGCTGTTTTACCCATGTCCGTTTTTTGTTTTGGAATGAGTAGAAGTTTCCTCTAAATCCAAATACTAGAGTACAATTTGGTTATTTGCAAAGATAGGGATCGTAAACCTCGGCCTTGAAATCAAGCTTGTGTTAAAAAAAAAAAGAGTGCAATATTTTTTCCTTTGCCTTTATGCACGTGAGATTGTAATCTTTTTGTAAATATTTGATATTTCTTCATATGGTTCTTGATTCTCAATAAACAATATATTTTATTTATGCTGATGTGCGGTTATCTTCCTTATTTTAAGTGTGAAATGTGAACTACTAATTGTAGAGGTTAGAGTCTGCCCAAGGTCTGTGAAAGGATATACACATGTGTAATACAGTATTATAATGTGTTTTCTGGCTCAGCGCACTTCTATTGGTGCACACATACCTGTTCTATTGGTCAGCTGTTAGCAAAAAACATAAATTCTGCAGGAACTGGAATTGGTGAAGCGGCACAGGAGTCAAAGGGGATATTTATTTATGACAAAACTTGGACAGCACAAAGATGTTTCTGCATGTGTGAGATGGATAAACAACTGTCTTAACAAACAACCGGACTCCGTCACTACATACCCTGACCCTCAGCTGCTAACAAAACATCCTGACAACATCTTGTAAGAGGATTCAGCTCCTTGATACTACATATCACACCACATGACAATCTTATATACTCAGCTTGCAGGTATCTGTTTAGTACGTTTGAGAACGTGAGTATCTCCAGGGTGTTTCTGTATGCTTTCTATTTGCTCGGCTGTTGACTGTCTTTTGCTCCCCGTTTGTCCTAAAGTGTCCTAAAGTAGAGGTATACCAATATGTTTCTTTGTCTACATGGAAACTAATAAGCTGCTGGGCCCCAGGCTGCTGTAACACCTCTTAACGTGTGGTAATTATGCTCTGCTTAGGAAACTGAATCAGACTGAAATGCTGAAGTCCTAAAACTGAATGTTGACGCATACCTGTCAGGACAGAAAGGGGGTCTTATCTAGCAGGACCCATCTAAAGGCCTGTTTTTTTAATGCAATTGTGTTTTGTGAACAAATATGCAGACATTCAGTGCACTTTACAGCTATTACTCTACATGATGAAACCCATCAACCCAAAGACAAAGGTGTGATATTCTTGACCCAATGCAGGCTATATAGGCTGGTAGATTAAAATGCAATTATTCTGAAAAAAAATTCACAAAATCCTGTTGGCCCAACGTGTTCCCTCTCTTCATCATCAAGTCAAATTGGCACACTCGTATTACCAAAAAAACACGTGTTGATTGTGTACTCCATTGTTATAGTGTATGAATAAGAATTCTATATACATTTACAAAAATTCAAGAAGAAAGGTTTCATTCAGATGCACTGTGTGTTCTCCGTGACTTTTATTTTGAAGTTTGGGTACGAAGCCGTGCCGGAAGCGAGTGTCGTTGTTGTAGCTCCGCTCGGGCTGTTGGGGAGGAGGAAAGCCCTGGCTGTGATGCCTCTGGATGATGGCTGCTTTCGGGATCCTAAGTTACGAACACCGGCCGTTAAAGAGGCCCCGACTGGGCCCTCCGGACGTTTATCCCCAAGATCCAAAGCAGAAAGAGGTCAGGTTCTACGATGTGCAATCTCAAAGTCCACGAATGTGGTTTTGTGGGAGGAAATTTTCAGCCGTGAAACTGCCCGAGCTAACGGCAGCTAGCCCGTGTAGCCAGCCCTCTAGACGAGTTGGGCCTAGCAATAACAATGAACAGTACCTAGTTGTCAGTTGGTTAGCTTCCTCGCCAGCTCGCCCGGAGAGCTACCGGTTCGTTAGGTATCGCTTGGCTAAGCTAGCCCGTCGCCTGTCGGGTTCTAACCGGTCCGAGCCGACGCTAAACGGGCAACCGGTACGTTTCGCTTTGTGATGAAAACGACGTAACGCGTTTCGCCCTTTTCTTTTAAGATGGTAATTGTTCGTTTAGTTACGTGTGGTGATCCAACGCGTTTACGTCAACCAGCGTTCTACCTTCGCGTCGCGTTCGTTTCCCGATGTGCGACCTGTGCTGAGTTTTGTGAGCTCGGAGTTTGGCCTAACGTTAGCCAGGCAACGCGGCGGTGCTGCTGCCTCCCGATCTATTATTAACCAACGGATGTAATCTGTTGATGTACACGGGAAAGCGGACCGCTCTACCTGTGGGTCTCTGTTGCTGCAGGTATCCTACAATGACGTAGTAACACGATTATGGGTATCTTGCACAACGCAATTAAGCACATATGCAGATTTTCCTCAAACTACCGCTTATCTAATTACACAACACAAACACTGGTGAATGTTTTTTTTTTTTTATTGATCATAATTCAAGCTGAGAAATGTGTTTTTGTTTCAGGATGAGCTGACTGCTCTGAATGTGAAACAAGGATTCAATAACCAACCAGCTGTGTCTGGCGATGAACATGGTAGTGCCAAAAATGTCAACTTCAACCCCTCAAAGGTAACGACCCCCCCCCCGGCCCACTTAATAAGCTCAGGTCCTCGTTTCTCGCTGCGATGTATAGCGTGATCCATCCTGGCCCTCATACATGTCCAACTCCGTGCGTTGCAGATCAGCTCAAATTTCAGCAGCATCATCGCAGAGAAGCTGCGTTACAACACGTTTCCAGACACGGGGAAACGTAAGCCACAGGTCAACCAGAAGGATAATTTCTGGCTCGTCACAGCAAGGTCACAAAGCTCCATCAATAACTGGTTCACGGATTTAGCGGGGACTAAACCTCTGACACAGCTGGCTAAAAAGGTAGGACCCTGTCTTGAGTCTATCAAAGCCATCCTCCCCCAATGGATCTCTATTTGGGTTTTTGTGGCTGTAATGATGGCCGAAGGGTTCACCTACTATTGCATATGCTTCACCCTCTGCGCTGTGCTTCGGCTGGTTGATCCATGTTATTCTCTGCCTCGCGGTCTCCTGCTCATGTTTTTTATTAGATTTCTCATTCCATTGTTTTATTTTGCTGATTTCCACCGTTTACATTAGGAAAGGACTGGACTGGATTTTTAGACGGTCGGCAAAACAATTGTCACCCAACAAAGGACGTGTATAATATCTCATGCATTTACTTTGTTTGGAGTTTAAAATTAAAATAAAAGGATTATTTCATGAGGATAATAAATATTGTATGAAAAATAGGGTGTAATCAAGTATCTGTCAAAATAAAATGCATTCTAGCGTGTTGAACGTTAGCATATTGAATCCACAGTTCAATGTTAGCGTTTCTAGCAGTTGCTACTGTATGAGATGCTATCCTGCTTCTGTGATCAGGCTTCATGCAGGTTAGACTCACAGGGACAAAGTTCATGTTGCACTGAGGGAGTAAAGCCGTGTCTGTCCACTAGAAGACGCCCCAACGTATCCTCTCACAATGTTTTTCGCATTTGAGCATTAGAGCTTTGCGGGGCGAGTAGTGTTATTACACATGCATATTATTTAACGCTGATTTTGACAAATATTCATAGAATGCAGATAATTGTGCAACATTAGATCCCAGATATGGCTTCACTCATTGATCTCTGGCGAGGAGAGGTGTAGCTAAGAGAATGAATTGAGATGCCTCATGAAATGTGAAGTAAAAATAAGTGCTTCAGCGATGTGAACGCAATGAACAGAATGAAAAACTGCTCCTGTTCGATTCCACGTCACAAAATAAAGATCAATGCAGCAAAGGTAAGTATTGCTTTGTTTTGGTTTTATTTTTTTCTTTAAATTAACCCAAAGGATGCTTCTGTTTAAACCAAGTCTATTTTTTGCCTCTTGTGTTTACCCGACACAATGAATGCCTTTTGTTTGTTGGTAGGGAAATAGGTTTTATTGCAGTGGGATTTCAACTTGTAATTCTATGGTTTGTAGATTGTTAGGTGCTGGGGTATTTCTAATTAAACGATTTGCTCTGTATGTGCTCTTACAAATAGTATCACGTAGGTGTTGAGTATTTAATACATCAGGTAACATTAAAGGGAACTTACTATTCATACATGTATGAAGGCCCCTCGTAATTTAGTTACGCTGCAGTTGATTTATTTACTGCTTTATTTAACCTGCATTGGTACATACATTTTTCACGGTTTTCTCCCTAAAATAATAATTTCTTACTTTTCTTGCAGTTGCTGCTCAGCGTCTTCATCCAAGCCATAGAAGAAGTAACATCAGGAAAACACAGTGGACGTCTTTTGTTGAAAAGATGGAGTTAATACAAGCGATTTGTCCAGTGCAAGTTTTCAAAACAGAATATGGAACGGAAATATTGTCTAGCAGAAATGTCCATTGTATTACGAACAACTTGGAAGCCTGTCTTTACATCATTTGGAAGTAACATGTACACCATGGAACATGTGTAGCATGGTGTACATGTACTATTTGTAAGATCACATACACAGGGTTTTTATTTAGCATTTGTTTGAACCTTTTCTGCCTTTTAAGCATTCAGGTGTTTGGAAAAAGTATTACTCTTGCGATGATAACGGATTTAAATAAATTACTTTCACCTTGTTTTCTGACTTTCTTTTTATTGCCACCTCTGAGGTTTTGATATATTTATATATATATTTGTCATGTTTGCATTGTTTCACTCCACATTAGTGACACACATAAAATGTCTTTGCCACAGGTTCCCATCTTTAGCAAAAAGGAGGAGGTTTTTGGATACTTGGCCAAGTACTTAGTCCCCGTCATGCGTTCAGCGTGGATGATCAAGATGACCTGTGCGTATCACGCAGCCATCACGGAGACCAAAGTCAAGAAGAGGCACGTGATTGACCCGTGTATAGGTAAGTAATGTTAATTGTGGGTTCGGTTTCTTTCTGCTTTGATATTCCATATTTGCTTTTAGGTCAAAAACTAAATGAGTCTGCTTCCTTTCACCGGTTGATAACTATGTATGATGTGTTCTTCCCGTCATTCATTACATTTCTGTGGCCTTCCGATGAATGTTTGTGTTTGTAGAATGGACTCAGATTATAACAAAGTACCTGTGGGAGCAGCTTCAGAAGGTGGCCGAGTTCTACCGACAGTTTCCCAGTCAAGGCTGCAGCTCACCACTGCCGGCCACTCCTGCCGACGTGGAGACGGCCATGAAGCAGTGGGAATACAACGAGAAGCTCGCCATGTTCATGTTTCAGGTCAGTCAGCGCGTTGTGGCTTAAAGATAGGTCGCATCTACCTTTCCAGCAACACAGAGTAGGACAATCTTCTCTAATTGCATTAGTTATTAGTTCAAGGTAACAGTGTT